AAGCAGGCCGGCTTCCTGAATCAAAGCTGGCCATTTTCGGGGCTCGCGGGCGCAAAGCAACGCTTCTTTGCCTCATTTGGAGACCTGCCCCTGGTCTTGTAGACACCTTCGGCACCTACCACCTAACGGACCACTCACAGCGGACGAGATCGTCCAAATCGCGGGTCAACGACACTGAAGAATGTGGGACGCTCCGAAAGACAAGCAGATTCTGGACATCACGAGGGAAGGCAATTAAAACGTGCAGCGACAACCTACTGGCGCTTCAACTCTTCTTGACTGGCGCCGTGGAGCAGAGGGCCCCCAGATTTGCGGCGAAAGATGCAAAATGCCAGGAAGACCCCTCTGCAGCGTCGCTTTTTCCCGTAGCGCCTCGGCGTCGCTGGTCCTGTATCCTGATTGCAGGTGGATCAGTTAATTTCCATCCACTTTCTTGCTTGAGAGCCACAGAAGCTCAACTGGTTCAGAGCCGCTCGAGGCGCTCCACGACTTTGCTAGCCAAATCCTGCACCTCCTCAAGAGCTGGCAAGACACAATGGTTCTTGCCTCCAAATGCCGTCGCCGCCGTTCCATCGGTAGAGCCAACGGCCATTGTGATCGCCCAGGCCTGTCCCCGCGAACGCCATGAGACATTACTGCGAACGCCTTTTGACGAGACTTTGTTGACGGGGGGCCATCATTGGTGGCCTGTGCCTGCCGCCTTGGAAGCCAAGCACTCAGATCGACCCATGCAGCCAATCAAGCTTGGTATGGATGAGCGGAGACTTGGACCCTGAGAAAGACATATTAAGGGGATTACCGCATGCTGTTTTACCAGGGAGACTGGCCGGAGCCAGTTGGTAGATGCAAGTGCTGAAGACCGCGAAATTGATCGACGACTCGGGCAAAAGGCGGCAAAAGCTCAGGGCCCTCGGACATGGTTGTCAAGTTGTGAGACTTTCGATAGACGATGGCGCGCGCCAGTTTAATTCCAGATGCTTCATTTGCATGACCGACGGTGCTCAGCAGAACGCTGCCAAGATCCGGGACACCTATGTTCCGTCTACGATGTTGAGCGCAACTACCTTGGGATTGGCGGCTAGGAAAGGCGCACTGCTCTTCTTCGATGATGACGCAGTCAACAGCACAAGATTCCCTGCGCAGTGTTTCTTGCTCACCACCGGAACGCGCCACAGTGGCTCACCGCATGGCTGGCGCTTGTTACACCTTTGCTTCAAGCAACTCGCCTTCCGTGACAGACAGCCAGGAGAATCGCTGGTTCATCGTCTGATGTTCGCGCGTGTCAAATTGGGCCTCGTGCCCCAATGATTCAAGACGTGGGTGTTCCATTCAGGAGAATGGCAGCCTCTTGCTGCGACGTCTTCGCATGTTCACCTCAGTCAGGCATGAGTGTGGAAGCGCAAGGTGGCTTCCACCGCGTCAAGGCTCAAGCAACCTGGGATGAGTGACATTTCATGCATGTCGACTCAACGGCATGGCTCCAAATAAGCTCAGGTTACAGGGGCAGCCAACGGACATCAACGAAGGATCTTTGGGATGGGGTTGCCTGTCAGCTAGGAAAAGCGGACCTCTGTATCACGAACATATACTCGACATCATTGACAAGTCGGTCCAGCTTAACGGGTGGCTGGCAGGACATGGCTCTCTCTCTCTCTACTGTGAGGTTTCAGCATCCCAGTTCGAAATATTACTCGACCTACAGTCAGTCGACAACCCGCTCTGAGGGCAAGACATATCTCGAGGACGCAGTCGTATCAAAGATATGGGATCATTGCCCCTTCAACTGTAGCAGCAACAGGTTTCATGCCGCAAGACCATAAACAAAACCGGGATGGCTGAAGAACAATAGCGGATTCGGTTGACGAGCCGACCACTCAAGTTACCTGGGTGTCCAAATCGACTTGGGACGAAAACCGACCCAAGGGAGAGGGACTCTCGCCAGCTTTGCAACAGAAGTTGTCTTTTCTCCATCTGCTGTGCATAGCAATTTCGGATCTTCTAGTTGTTGTCCAATGAGGTGGCGGCCTTTCTCATAAGCCACGGTGAAACACGAAATCACTCGCTCCCATGACCGCCCGTTGGTGTTCAGGCTGAAGTTCAGCCGGCGTCGCGGACGTGTTTCAGACGCGCCCTCAATTCACTCGGGACATTCTCGTCGCAGATTTCTCGCTTGACGTTCAACGTGCTTTAACTAGAATAGGCGGGAACAAAGAGCACGGAGTTCCCCCTCACGTAAAGGGTAGTTGGCCCTTGTTCATGCGCGCGATCCCCCAACTTTCGGAAGCAGCGCTCTCACGCAGGGAATCCTGTCGAACGATGTTGCGGAGTTGAGATGACGGGTCTGTCTTTTCACACGGACTGCTGGTTCCGGCTTGCAGCTTCCGCCGGTGTAATGGATTGGCCGGGCTTGTTGGGCGGGAGGCATCCCCGAACCAGCACGTCGTTCTCGCTCGACTGTGAAGCTGTCATGGATTGTCAGCGTCACAGATGCTGTTGCCAGGCGGACGCTGGTTCTGGCGAATGTCCCGTGCCCATACTCGCAATGCGGATTTGCCCAAGGGCGGCTGGGGTTCGGGTGATGATCGAGGCGCTCCCAGCAAACGAGCATCGAAGCTATCCAGAAGAAGGAATTCCTGAGGGAATTTCTGACTCGTTTCTGACTGCATCAACTTCGCTGTTGAGATTGCCCCACGAGCCGCGAAGCCTGGTGACACATCTCGTCCAAACCATTTACTGATCTCTCAGCAGACTGAAGAGAGTCCCGGTTTTTTTTGGATGAGGCCGTATCGGATCTAGGAGGCAATCGGGCCCAAGCTGATGGGCAAGTAAAACAGCGCCGTCTCAAGAAACAAACTCATCAGCCCATCGCGGATGCATAGCTCGAGTATCCCACATCCACGTCGGCACCGGACGCCGTTCCGGGAAAGGCCGTGCGACGTGGGGTTAACGGCCGGCACGCCATCCGAAGAGGCGAGATGGAGCCGACGGACGGCGGGCGGGAGAACTGGGGCAGAACTCGGCCTGTGAGCCCTTGGTCCGAAGTGCCGAGATTGTTGCAGTTGGACGACGTCGCAAGAGTTTGGAGATTCCGCCGATGCTGCTGTCTGCAGCATTCGTTGGACCACGAGTCCTTTCAAGTATCGCAGCATGTTGGCCCACGGCTCCGAGCTGCCGTCTTGGGCAAATCTCACCACATGCATTCGGAATTGGTGCGTATGGGTGAATCGGCCAGCGTCAAGTGACTTCACGGCCAAGGGATGGAGGCCACGCGTCCCGGCCCATCATCCGCCTTGTCGTCGGAGCCGCCGCTGCGGGTTGAGAGCGAGGCGGCGTCCGCGTGCGCCGACTCTGCCACGGATGTACGACGGCGGGTCCAGATTGAGCTCTGCCTCCATTTCTGTGGATTCCCTCCCGTCTGCTATGGACTGCCTAAGTATTCCAGAAACCCAATCGGACGCACAAACCCGCCGATGCGTTCACTTGTTCGAACGCCTAGCATCCGATGGGATATGAACCGATTACCACGGGTCCGCTGAGAGGTCGCAGCCACGCCCAGGCCAACGCAGGAGAGCTTCAGAAATATCTCCTTAGTCTTCTGACAAAAAGGAAGCCCGCCATGAGGCAAAACAATGGACACTCGGGGAATTGAACCCCGGACCTTTCACAAGGCGCATCACCTGGAGATACCGGCGAAGATGCGAAGCGAAAATCATACCCCTAGACCAAGCGCCCGAATCGTATGCACGGCAAGGCCGAGAACGCGATGGAGAACCCACCACGGCGGAGATCGTGGCGGGGGAAGACGCAAGAGTGGGATTCTGGCGGCGGCGATGGTTGGTTGGGTACGACGGTGGGACCGCTCGTGTACATCTGTCCCGTGGGTGAAGGGGAGAGCCAGTGCTCAGACTCGAAAGCGCCCCCATCTGAAGTCGCGATGGAATCACCGAGAAACCTCTCTTCAAGGCGAGGCGCTCGAGAGTGATCCAAGGATATCAGAAACGTTCGAGGCCCTGCTTGGCAGTTTTAGCAGTTCGTCTTGGCAACAAAAACAAACGGGAGCCACTTCGCTTACCCCAGCTGCGATCACGACATAGGAACTCGAGCAAACAATCAAGAGGAAACGCGACACGGTAAGATCGATCGTGCCAAGGCTTCAAAGATAGCCTCATCAACGTCGCAAGGGAACGAGAAGTCTAGACGCGCCGGGCTGGATGTCATGTCTGTCACCGAGGAGGCGGGGTGAGGAGGGGGAGGGGGCATGTAACCGTGTCCAGGGGGCTCCTCCGTCTCAGGAGCCCAGAAAAGACCCTTAAAACAAGCACAGAAAAAAAGAGGCAAAGCCTGAAATAGAGAGGGGGACGGCATCGCGACTTAGTCAGTTTCCCTGTCGTTGGTCCTCGAGAGAGACGGTTGATCCTTTATCTCAAATCAAGTCCTATTTTGAGGTGTTGGTTTCGCGGCATGCGGGGCGACGAACGTGGGGGAAGGGGACAAGGAGGCCGGGCAGGACGGTGTCAAGTCTTTGCAGAGATATACTTTTGCCTCGAAGCGCAGGACTGTTAACGTTATATGCTATACGATGCTCGGTATCGCCAGAGTTGTGAGAAAACACGCCATGGTTCCCAAATGCGGTTGCTGGTGGTAAGGTACTTGTCAGATCTCGCACGCGCCCCTGCGACGAGCGTCAAGAGTCCTTATTATCCAATTGAAGAGATAGTTGGCAAACGTATTGCTACGACAAAGAAAGGACAAGGCCGTTGCTTGGATATCATAACATATCTATCGTATCGTATGTGTTTCCGTCATATCGTTCTTCGCTCGCTGTCGTCCATACAAAATACCTCATCCAACAGATAAATCATAACCAAGTATCCCATCAACTCCAACTAAGACAGACCCTCATAGAATCACAAATCATGAAACATCATATCTCCAAAATAATAAGACCCATCCCGGAATAGACTCGTACAAAGTCATTCAAACGTGTGCCAGGTCTTCCTTCATCGCCTGTGAATGTACTCCCGCTCCCTTCTGCGATCCGAGATGGTCACTCTCATCCTCTCCTCCTCAGGCGGCGGGGGCGGCGGCAGCATGCGCGGCGGCGAATACCGCCTCCCCTCGACGTACCTGAACGTCTCGTAGCGCGGCTCGACGGGGACAGGGACGGGGTACGGCACGCGCACGGGGACGAGCTTCTCGCGCTCGACGTAGACCTCTCTGACGTCCCTCTCGCGATCACGGCTGCCGTGGCGTGAGTGGCTGCAGCTGCGGCTGCGGCTGCTGCGCGAGGACTTGCTGCTCTTGCTGCTCTTGACGCTCGGCTCCACGTCGACGGCGATGACCTCGATGGGCGCGGGCTCAGGCGGCAGGACGATGGGGGGCGGCGGCGGAGGAGGAGGAGGAAGCGCGATGACGGGTGGAGGCGGAGGAGGGAGAGGCTCGACGACGGGGGGAGGAGGGGGCGTGCAGGGCCTGACGATGACCGGGGGCGGGGTCGGCTCGCGGGCGGGGATGAAGGTTGTCTTCTTTGTGCGGACGGTGACGGCGCCGTTGGTGGGGGGTTCGAGGTAGAGGCGCTTCTTTGCGCCGTGGTGGGAGTGGTGGCGGTGGTGGTGGTGGTACTCGTAGTATTCTCGTGAGGATGCTGCTTTGGCGGTTGGCTTTTTTGCTTCGAGGTGACGTCAGGGATAAAGCGGGAGTTACACGTACCCATTTTGGAACGGCTGTGCAGAAAAGGAACTCTTGAGGAGGAAAGTCTGAGTGCGCCGGTGTGGCCTACACTAAGGTGCGACGTTGCCCGATACCGACGGTGTGGTTTTCACAACGGGGGGCCGAGGTTCGTTATGGGTTGCGGGTAGGCGCAGGTCGCAGGCGGATTCTGCTGCAACACACCCGGATATGGGATGATGTGTAGGAGTAAAAAAGGGACGATCGAGTTTGTTTGGCGGGACAGAAGTGAAGATCAGCTTCTGAATCAGAAAAGAGAGGCGGGAAGGCTGGGTTGGAGCTGCACTAAATAAGGTCGGGGGCAGAGAGGGGGGGGATGAATGGTGGGCGGGAGATGCGCTATCCCATTATATAACTACGTACCGCTGGGCGCAAGAGAGCCAGCCAGCTGCTGCCAGGGAAAGACACAGAAAAAAGACTTGGAAAAGCGAACTTGTCCAGGCAAGGCCGGACGGGAAATGTCACCGTTGCTGACGGCTGTCACTGGTTGGGTTGGACGGCGGTGGGTGTCACCCACACCACCCACCTCGCATAGCCGGATAGCACAAGTACCTTGCGCTTCCTAGTTTGCGGTACAGTACAGTGCTCACAAACACCAAGGAGATGATGGTGTGTCAGCCCGAGGGAAAGCCCAGTCTGAATGGGAGACCCAGGCCAGGCTGGGTCGACGTGCAGCTGCCGTGTCGAGGGAGAGAAGACGGGAAGTGGTGCATCGCCATGGCCGTGTCCCCCGCCCTCTGGAGGCTCAGCAGCAGCGGCATCAGCAGCACCGAGGACCCAGCAGCGGGAAGCCCGACCGAGACGAGACGCACGAGAGAGGGGACCAAATGGAGCACAGCCGCTTTGAATGGAGCTGAACATACCTAGTACTAGAGTATGGTATCTTTTCTGCAAGACTCTATTCGCGCGCAAAGTGGGATATCTCTAAAGACAGCAGATGAACAAACAATGACACTGGCCAACAAATTTCATTTAGGAGGGACCATGCAGAACCGCAAACCTGTCCAACAAAAACCAGGACCATCCCCCCTCCATCTTCCCACATGAACAAGACCCTTCCCTCCTTCCAGACCGTCCTTCCTCCATCTTCTTTCCCTTCGCGTGAGGGACAGGGGCGCGCGATTGGGCAATTAGGGCCTTATGACGCCAGTGGGCACGTCACGCCAAAATCAAGATTCCGGGAGGGTCCTCGTGCGCTCTTCTGCTAGAGGGAGGGGTGCTTGGCCCGGGCTGCCACCTCCCTCTTTTTTGGGTTCTCCGGCTGACATCCCCCGACGGTCTCGACCGTCTTCATTCGCTCCGCGCACCTCGGGTCCTCTCTCGATGCACTGCGGTATGTGTGTGTGCGAGTCCTGCGTCCTGTCCTGCGTGCTGCCCGTCACCGCCGATGGTCGACGGTGCGGGATGGGAGAAAATCAAGGTTGTTGATGTGCCGCCGCGCGGGATTGCTCGCAGCTAGCCCGCTGCGCACCGCCTTTTCCCACGAGATGCGATTGCTCTGCGCCGCGCCTTTTCGTCCACTTGCGCAGCCAACTCGGGGTACCCCTGATAGTGGGGTTGCAGGGCTGAGCTTGTTGAATTGGGTGCGCTGGCAGCTCCATCGTCTGTCCCAACCATCTCCGCCGCGCCGCCGCCATCTCTTTGGGGTCCGGGGCCAGCAGACATCGTTGGGCCGCGGGGCGAGAAGAGAGAGAACAATTCTTCCCCGAGTCGCTGCGCGGCCTCTTGGGCCCCGATTCTTAGGAGCGGGCCTCATTCTCGTTGGGCGCCGTCCTCGATGCCAAGGCCGCGAACTGTACGATCCCATCTATCGGTCGTCGCTGGCTGCATGCTTGACTGATTCGAGATCCGGCCATCTCTTCGCAGCCCAACCTCTGCATTGCCGCTTTCTTTTTCCTCCCCTTCCCAGACCAAGTCTAGATCCATCCATCTATGACCCTTGACCCTGGGATCTATCGGGCTCGGGTGCCCCCGAACTTCCTTGATACGATCGATCCAAGGCAGTCGCCCACCGTGGGACTAGGGCCCTCAAGCCGCCGACATCCTCGCGCGCTGCTGCCGCCGTGACGCACCATCTGACCGAACCAGCTTCACCGTCCGCCTCATGAAGTTCTGTTTAGCTGACGGCGGTCGAGCATACCCAGCCGCCCTCGGAGCAGGGAGCTCACGCGCCTCCATCGCGTCATGGTGATTTGACTTCTCTGAGATGCCAGCGTGTGCAGAGAACCCGGATACGAAATTGTCCTCGCGGCGAAACTTATTGGCCATCCAGTTGAACAGATGGCCTAGCTCTCCCATCCACCACAGACCAAGCACGATGACCAGGATGGTGACTGGTATCGCAGAGGCCCAGTAGAGCCACTGACCGGCCTCCATGTCACGGATGTCGCTCGTGTTCATCCCGAAGATGCTCGACACTGCGCTCAGGGGCAGGAATATGATTGTGACAATGGTGAAAGCATAAATGGCCTGCTCTTGCCGGTCCTTCGTCACCGCTGCGTTGTTCAGATTCTAGCCACTCGTCAGCAAAGTCGTCCCATGCTGAAAGTCAACTTTGTTGGGCTTACCGTCTGCTCCAGGACATCGGCCTGTTCAGCATATTCATCAAAGTCTCTTGCCCGACGCTCCAACAGTTGCGTGCACTCTGCGGCGAGGAGATCCCTGAAGCCAGCAGCATCCGTGGACGGAAGCTTGTAAAAGTCTGACACCTCAGCGATGGATGCCAGCAGAACGTCCGCCTCGCCGTCCTCGGCGTATCTGTTCCTCGCCATGCGCAGGTGATTCCGCAAGGACGCACCCTCTCGTCTGTTCACCTCACTGTACTGGACCGCGTTCAGACGGCGGTGCTTTGGTGTTGTGGATGAACCTTCGTCCCGAGATGCCAAAATAGAGTTGAAAACACTGTTTTGCGCAGCTATTGTGCGGTTGATCACGGTGACTTCCTGACGCAAAAAGTTGATTCGCTGCTGATAAGTCATGTCTGACGCCCCGTTTGCAATTTCGTTCTCCTGCGAAGGAAAAAGTGTCAGCACGTGAAACGGCGGTGTTCAACCCAAATTAGACTTACCAAAGCTCTGAGATACTCAGAGTATGTGTCGCTGATTCCAGCATACTTTTCAGACGTGTTGGAGAGGAGTCCGTATCCGATCAGGGATACGACCTCCAGCGGGAGGACGGAAGAGCGTTCCAAGAGCTTAAGATTTGACAGGCGTTCCATGATGTGCTTCATGCCGCTCTTCACCAAAGAGTCGGCCACGTCCAGATGGTCCTCCCACATGTGTGTCTCATGACTGGCGTAGATCAGACCCATGACCAGATGAAGCCAAGCACGGATCAGGTCAATAGGCACATCGATCTCCAGGCGGTCCGTAGGTTCAGCGTGAGACAGGATGCTCTTGAAAGCCATGACAGGGAGGGCGAGTTGCCGCAAAGCTTTTCTTATCGTTGGGGCGTTGGCGAAGACGGCGTCGCGTCGTCTCTTGTCGAGTCCGTGAGGGTGAGGTTCGCCATCTGCGGAGTCGGATACGGGGACCTAAAGGTAGTTTAGCGACATGTTGAGTTTGCGGCGAACTTTAGACGGAAACTCACCCAGACGAGGTTCACCACAGCCCCCCAAAACCGCTCAGTTGTTGGCCCGTCAAACAGTGGAGGCAGGAAAAATCTGAACAGAGTGTCGGCAGCGTTGAATATGTCAACGCGGTCTTCGTAGTCCTGCTTCTTCCAAGGTTTGTTCTTTAACTCCTGGATGGCAGCCCCCTGCTGTTCAAGGTAGGCGTAGACCTCGTCTCGACCAGACGCCTCGGAATCCAAGTAAGCTCGCCGGTCCGGCCCGTTTGTCTCGGCAGTCAAGAAATCCTCTACTTCGGAAAGCTGTTTTTGTAGGACAATAAAGTTGGGGCCCTCGACCGGGCTTGAGATATGAGCGTCAGCCCAGCTGAAGACGTGAAACCTCTCGTTTGCTTTTCCATGTCCCGGCGGATAGCTCAACCGTTTTCTGGGTGAAAGGGGAGCCGGCTGAAGGCCGGCACCGGGCTGAGACCGAGTGTTGCTCACTGATTGCCCGATGGGTCGGAGGATGCCGCTCGGCGGAAGTTGAGGTGGCGCACTGTTTCCCGTTAGCTACATCCGGCAATCTGCGGAGCTGCTATACCGACCTGGTTTCCATCGTGACAACGACATTTCTGCGTGATGTGCTAGCAAACTGCAAAACCTTCCACCAACGTGCTTCGCCCAGCTGACGGTCGTTAAAGTGGAAGCGCACTGTCTTGGGCCAGAAGTCGGCGAAGTGGGCGATGAACGCAAACCACGTCTGACACTCCTCAAGAGGAAAAGACCATAAGACTGATTCCCCGTACTGAACGAGGATCCGCCCAGACTCTGCGCTGTGAGAAGGGTCTTTCGCCGGCTCTGACACCACGCTGACGTTGTCGCCTCGCAGGGCCGCCTCGGACATCGAACCGCAGGTGATGAGAAGGGAGTTGTCGAGAACGATGCACCAAAGCTGGCGAATGTGAAAGCAGGAACTCTTGTCACCGTTCCCAATTTGCCGCGTAGCTTGTTGCATGTCGCGCTTCTGGGAGTTTCGAGAGAACGATGCTTGCAACAGAGTCTGGGGCGGGTAAGCCCCTGGGTTTCCAGTGGCCAGGATTCCAGAGTAGTCCTCGAGAGAGAAGTAGGGCACACAGAGCCATGTTGCCGTTCGCTTACCCGGAGTCGACCCTTTCTCATGTTCCCCTTTTTGTAGAGGCAGTTGGAGGTAGCTCGGCTCCATGTGCTTTACCGTGGTTTGCCGGCTGGTTCTGACTGTCTTGGAATAGTTCTTCCTCACGTCGGAGAGAAGCTTCCGGATGTCATTCTGCTCGTTTTCCGAGAGGCATCGCGAGATTTCATTCTGGGAATGGTCAGCCTCGGGGCCTTCTGTATACTGCTGAGCAAATACTCACCGTGAACTCATCAAAGTTCATCATGTCTTGTTGTACATGCCTAGCAGTTGTTAGGGATGAAGAAACAATGTTTGTCTGAGAACTTACAGCCACCTGAACAGAGACTGCCTCCTCCTCCTCGCATCATGGACGATCTCCAAAGCCGCCGAATGCAAGCCCCCAAGGACACCTTCGCCGGTGTACTTTGACTGATATACATAAAACGCCTCGCTGAGTGGTGGCTCTTCTCCCCTTAGCGTAGAGTCGTCAGAAAACGGCGTCTCCAAATCAGACCCGTCGTCGTCTTTCGAGTGATCGCCAGACAGACGAGCGGGGTCAAAGACGTAAACCTTCCCCGTCGTCTCCTCCAAATCAACCCAGTCCTCCGTCTCCTGGATAGGAGTCAAATACTCCATGTCCGTGAACTCTGGCGGCATCGGGAAACCGTCCAGATCTACAGAGTGTTCGTCTCCCGTAGCGTCCGTGTAGACAGAGATGGGCGAGGGCTCTTTGGACGGGGCCGGAGGCATCTCTTCTTCCTCTTCTGGCACTGCGGACGGGAATGCAGGTGTTTGCTGCCGCGAAATAGGTGCTGCCATGGGCGTTTTTGGCCGGCGTCTCGGTGTGATGGCGTCCTTAGGCGAGGCGAAGCGAACCATGGGCTGAAGTAGTGATCGGGTCGATCGCCGGCGGGCTGGGGTGGTGGCATGCGGCGGTGGCGTCGGCGGGACGGGGATGTAGATGTCATCTTGCTTCCGAAAGTCCTCCATCATCTGGGCCAGGTTCACACCCCTGTACTGGCTTCTGAGACTTTGTGCTGAGGTTCGCGGCGGGAACAGGGAATGGCCTCGACGGCGAGGTTCCCTCTGCGATTCATACATATTGCTGGCCGATTCGTACTGTGTTTTGGGGCTGTATCTTGTGTGCGAAACACAGTGTAAAGTCTCGGCAATGGTGTGTAAGTGGCTACCGAAGCCCTTAGACTTGCCAGATATTGGTCGTCTTTTCTTCAAGTGGTAAGTGGTATCAATAGTTTCAACGACCAAACGCCTCAAACCTCCCCAAAAGGGTCGTCTCAGAACGTGTCTGCAACATTTAAGTAAGAAAATGCCTGCAATAGTGGTATCGCGTCAAATGTCACCCAGCCGACGCTTGTTTCTTGGCCAGCCACCCGCGTGGTCGCAATCAGGTGGCAGGGCCGCCGCTAACACGAGGCCCAGTGGGCATGTGCGCTACCCGTGCGCTGTCGCTCCAGGCACGCAGAACCGCTAGCGCCGCCGTTGGCAACCTCCCTCCCCGCCATCTTCAGCGCTTGTCGCGGGGAGGTCCCAGCAGCCGTTGGGTGCTTCTGCGCCGGGCCCAGCCACTGACGTTCTAAGACGGTGGTTCCTGGTGCCCCTGGTACTGGGATGTACCTGCATTCGCGATGGACGAGAGCCCGCTTAAGTCGGCATCGACATGGTTCACGGAGGCTCACGATAGCTGCTAGTTTTTAACGACAAAGCGAGTAGCGTATGTTCGGATCTCTTTTCGTTGCCGTCCCGGCCGAATGTCTACACAAAACAAGTGGTTGTCCGTCCTCCTGAACTCCCAAGTCAACCCACGGGTATCTACCATTCCTGAACTCCAACCCAAGTGGTATCTCGTTCCGTTCCAGAAAGAGAAAGAAGACCAAAGAAAAAACAGACGATGAGCGTCCCAAGAGTCCTCATCTGTCCATGTCCACGTATCGGTATCAAAAGGACCAATAAGCGACTCGGTCGGCTGAGGATCCCAAGCCCATCCGTCTAGTGCAAAGAAACAATGAACCACCTCGAAGGATCTTAGCCAGCCATTCAGTACCAGAAGTTACAATGTTCGTAAGGCTGGTCGGCCAAGTATCTGCCATCTTCCGAGCGTCCATCCTTTTTGCTACTGCTGGGATCAAAACCGTCGCACTGCTGCAGGTACGCATCCGCCGGTCGTAGGTAAACAAGGTAAAGCAAGTTAGAAAGCCGCCGTAAGTCCTGTTCTCAGACTAGTCCTTCTGCTAGAAAAACCGAGCCAATAATTTCTCAGCCATTGCAAAGTCGAAGCCAATATCCACAATGAGAATCCATACGGAAGGGGTTGCTGAAAGCGATGGCAAGTGCGAAGTATCCGAATGTCGAAGCCCGTCACCAGAGTGAGGTGCAAACAGCAAGAAATCCAGGCTGAGAATCGACTGGCTAAAACTGTGCCTGGTCTTCAAAAGTTCGGGATGTGAGCGTCTCTCATCTTCTTCGCCATCTCGTCGATGGATGCGATGTAGTAAGACGGGGCAGCAGTCGAGGGACCAGGAATACCGAGCTGCTGTTGCTGCTGCTGCTGACGGATCTGGGGCAGATGGACGTCGGTGTAGAACTCCTCCTCTTCGAGCCAGTTGCCGTCGCGATCGAAGATCTGGGCGTACTCGTCGAGAAGACCCTGAGAGTACCAAAGCTTCATGTCCTCGCGCCAAGGGAAGTTGAGGTCGCTCCAGAACCGGGTGATCGGGTCCTTGAAGGCAGGCTGGCGGCGCCAGAAGGGCAAGGTGATCACGACCAGCTTCGCGAGCAAGAGCTTCATCTTGCGGATCTCCTCGGGCTTCGCCTTCTTCTCCTCATAGATGCAAATCATCGCCATGCGAATAGGCATCTCGAAGCTCTCCATCAGGCCCGGCTGCGTAAACTGGTAGTGGTAGAAGCGGCCAGAGAGAAGTGGGCCGTAGTACTCGACGGCCTCCTTGACATTTTCGAGGAAGTACTTGCAGCCGCTATCGATGTCGAGCTTGACGCAAGTGCGGTAGTTCATGGCGTTGAAGAGAACGAAGCGCGCATCCCACTTCTTCTGGCCTCGGTCGATCTTCATGCCTACCAGAACTGGAGAAATTGTCAGAAAACCGCATCATACTGCAGCTCGCAGGCGTTTTCTTACATCCGTTGTAGAGAAAGACGATGATAGGGCCAACCTGCTTGACATCATACTCGTCCATCTTCAGGAATGTCTTGCCATTCTGTTCAACAACACGATTAGGATACAGTTATTGTGAAGTCAAGTTCGTGCCTTACCGCGTCAGCAGGGGGAAGGTGCTCGGCAAACCAGGTCGAGTCCGTAACCAGAATATCGCGGTGAGCCAGGGCGTTCATACTACCCTTCTTGAAGGCAAGGGTGACATCCCATCCGTGCTTGGCACCAAAGAGCCTGCGAAGGCGAAAGTCAGCAGGCGACTAGTATTCACTTTGTTGGGTCACTCACTCGCGGCGGCGGTCTCTCTCGCGTGCAGCCAGCACCGCCTTGGCGAGAGCCCCCTCCTTCTCGACTTCCTTCTTCTCGGCCTCGGCGGCGGCGGCAGCAGCAGCGGCACCGTCGTCTTCCTCTTCGATAGCCACAGCAGAGTCCTCGTCCTCCGACTCAGAGTCCTCGAAGGAAACGGCGACGCCCTTGCCCTTGTCCAGCTTGACCTTCTCCTTCCGGGTCAACTTCTTCTTTTCGGCGAACAATTCGACGGACGCCGCGGGGCGGCCGCCGCTGCCGATGGGAGTGTCGATGGCTTCGCGGGCCGCCTTTCTGGCCTTGGCCTGGACCTTCTTTTTGGCCGCGCGCTTCGAGTTCTTCTTCTGAGCCATCTCGCTGTTGTTGCTGTAGTCGCTGTCGCTCTCGTCACTGCTATTTTCTTCACTGTCGTCGTTCTCGCCGCCGTCGTCTCTACTATCTTCGTCGGCGGTAGTGATGTCGGTGTTTTTGTAGGATCCAGAAGAAGTCTTGGTCGAAGTTAGAGGAGGAAAATCCACAACACTGGCAGTGTAAGGTGAGGTATTCTTCAACTTTGCAGCACGAGGTGACTGAATTTTAGAGCTAGGCTCCAAGTTCGTCGAGCTGCCTTGACCTTCCCGAGTGAGCTTCTCCTGGTCGAGGACAGCAGAAGGAAGTGCTGCCAGAGATGCAGCAGGGGTGAGGCTTTGCGCGGACAAGGACGGGAATTCCTCCGCTTCAATGGTGATATCCTGCCTCAGGGGGCTAGGCTTCATGCCCTTCGGCAGGCGACATGAGCCCAGGAGCGCATCTTTAGGAATTTGTGAGACACACGGTTAGTAGGCAGTCGGGACCAATTCAAATTCAAAGGAACTTGAAAGACGATGGCACGCAACAAACCCAATGTCAAACTGGTCTGTGGAAAAAGATGAGATATGCGTGAGTGATTGGGTTGGTTGTGTCTAAGAACGCTTGGGTGCAGTGCAGCAAACTTAGGATCTCAGAAATCTCAAAAGAAAACTGCTTGTGTGAAAGTTCTGTGTGAAAGTTCTGTGTGAAAATTCTGAGGCAGGTGAGCATCCCACGTCGGCAGGTAGCTGGTGTGCTGTGGTAAGTGATCCTTCCCCTTCTGTTCTTTCAGGCTCACCTTCGCCTTGCCCAGTGCCTACCAAGAGGGAAGGGGTCTACATGTATTCCGGGCCTATCTAGTACTCCGCGGAAGCAGAGATCTTCTCTGATGAGAGATCATATTGTTGCAACTCGATTTTTGAGGAAGGCCCCCTTCGCTCAGTCATTTTGATATTTCACCCCTGAAGCCTTGAATGAAATATGAACCCTTAAGCAGACCTCATGAATCTGGCTTGGGCTTCTTTAAGAAAATCAATTCCTTCAGCGACTCGGTAAATTCCTTGACCTGAGTGGTTGAAAGCTTTCTAGCTGTAGGTAGAAAGAATGAGCAGAGGAAAGAGTGCCCCACTTGGTCGCTCCCTACTTTCTTTATTGCGGTAAAGAACCCAAAGCTCAACGCTGGTTTTGTCCGACACAAACAGACATTGCTATGATGTATGGTCTTTCTGTCAGCCCAGCCATGGCGAAGAGACCACTGCCTAGGTACCACAGCAAACTGGCGGTAGAATCTTCGTCAAAAGAAAGCCCAGACATTTGCGTCCGCAACCTCGCTGTTGCACTGCAAGTTTGTTTGAATTTGACTTCTGCGCGGCCAAGCTCCCGTGCCGCTGCAAGGGTCATATTTCGAGAAACAAAGGCAGAATGTCGCAAGCCGGTGGGCGAACAGCGGCCGGGTTGGGTCAACGTTGTATCAAAATTCTCCGAGTTTATCAAGACCAATAAAAGCAAATAAACCCTATTCGTTTTTTCAAGATCGAGAACATATTTACTCCCAACCGGAAGGAAAATAAACAATGAAGCGAAGAAGATGAAAAAAATCATCCAGGACAGTGGTCGCAGATCATCCATCGTCGTTGTCGTCTGTATGCTTACATAAGCGGGAGCAAGGACAAAGAGCAAAAGACCGGCCGCCCAAGGAAACATCACAATCTCTGGGGCATGGGCGATATAAGGTCAAAACGACCCCGGTCTTCGCTAGTCATGTCCATCCCTACCTCGCTCTCGCTATTTCCTGTTCAGACCATCGATCGGACCCACTCCCAAGCCGATCCTCGCGGATTGGACAGCCGGCATTAGAGTTGACCGGCGCCCTTGCGGGGCGGACGGCAGAGGTTCCATCGGAGGAGGGCACTTGGTGAGCGCTTGGCGCTTGCACTTACAGGGCATCATACCTACCAAACCTGAGAGGCACAACGCGCTACATTGATGGAAACCCGCCAATCTTTCTGACTGGATCAAACCTTAAGAAAACCAGCCAAGACAGACAATGTCAAGGCCTTTGATGCTCGGGAAAGTATCACCGCACAACGAGACAAACCTCGGGAGTTGCACGGGGAACCGGAGTCCGTCATCATCTTCCCAAACAGACGGCGCCCCGGTATGCCCCTTTACACGGGCCTTGGAGACCAACCGATTCGCGGTGGTGAGGTTGCCATCTCCACCGTCCCCCGTTTAAACTCGGACTCATGATCCGGCCCGAGAAACATTGACACCTGCCCGAGTCCCCCGTGTTCATGATAATAATGAGCAGTTTCCCTCGAGAAGCGAAGACGGTTTTTACGATGAAATCGACATTCCAATCCATCTTTCACACCAAACCTCACAAACACCTCTACCCATACCCAGCAAAATGAGCTCCTCAACAGGCAACAGAGCCCTCTGGATCGCATCCTACGATGAGCCCGCCCAGGTCATCGACCTCCCCATCCCAGACGCTCCCACCGGCACGGTCGTGGTAAAGATCCTTGCTGCTCCTATCGTCCCTTACACCCACCTCTTCCACTCCGGCAAGCTCGAGCATGTCTCTCTCCCTCCCCCCTACGTGCCCAACCCGAATGCCATCGGCCGAGTGCATCAAGTCGGCCCCGACGCCGTCAAAGTCAAGGAAGGCGACCTTGTTTACGTCGACGCCACCACCCGTGGCCGTGACGATCCCGGAAGGATGATCATGATCGGCCACATTGGCGGCCACGGCGAGGACAAAAAGCTCACCCAGGAGTGGCGTGACGGTTCACTGCAGCAGTACCAGAAGGTGCCACTCGAGAACGTCTACCTTCTCGACGAGAAGCGTCTGTGCGGCGAGCTTGGATATGACTACGCAGCTTTACATTCTATCGCACACTACTCCGTCGCCGCGGGTGCCCTCCTCGAGGCCGCCGATGTCAAGGTGGCCGAGACCGTCATCATCGGCCCCTCAGGAGGTTCGTTTGGCGGGCTGGCCGTCGAGGTCGCCCTCACCGCAGGCGCCAACGTCATCGCGCTAGGCCGCAGCGAGAACAAGCTCGCCGCCATGCGCAAAAAGCTCAACGACCACCCCCGCCTCAAGACCGTCGTCATGACTGGCGACGAGGAGGCCGACGCTGCAGCCATCCGCCAAGCGACCCCCAACGGCACCGGCGCCGAGATCTACAACGACTGGACCCCCGGCGAGCTCAAGAACCCGCCGTACCTCGGCGCCGCTCTGCGCGTCCTCAAGCGCGAGGGCAGGATCATCCTCAGCGGTGGCGCCAGCGAGACTCTGACTATCCCCTACGCCTCCTTCGGCATCATGAACCTCAAGCTGCAGGGCAAGTGGATGTGCGAGCGCCGCACGCTCGAGCAGCTGATCAGGATGATTGAGGGTGGCCAGCTGCGCATCGGCAAGGAGAGCGGCAGCGAGCTGGCCGTGTTCACACTGGACCAACATGAAGAGGCCATCGAGCACGCGCGACTCAACGGTGGCTGGAGAAACTACACCGTTGTCGCGCCCAACCCTTGGTAGAAAAAGAGGGCTCCACAGAATTGTTTTGCTTTTGATATCTTTCTTTCGTCATATGTAGCAAACGCATCAGCGTGCAGTCGATACAGGCTTCAGGCATTTGTGAATATAGGGAAAAATTAGAATTATTGAGCGAATAGAACCCGACTCCGATTATGGGCTTGTGTAACTGAACCTCCGCCCCAAATTTTCCCCCAGGGCTGCAGATGACAAAATGTGCTCTGACTTCTATCATCGACATGGATGTCAGATCTGTCCCTGCATGTTTGTCAATTTCTGAACAAGCGACACGTCACATTGCTGACGAGACCCGAAAACCAAAATCCGACGACGTGGTCCAGAGACGGAGGGAAGGTCTGTCTGTCTTACCTCGTAAGCCAGTCTTACACGACTTGTATCCCGTTGCGCCATTGGCTGACCCTCGTCGAGTAATTAAATAAGGTTTATGTTTCCATCGTAGATCTTGCGTTGACAGCCCAGGGCAGACAGACCGCCGCCAATGCATGTGAATGGTGAATGACTGAGATTTTGTAAGGGCAGCCAGCCAGCCAGCCATGGATACCTCCATAATACCCAACGGGCCAACAAACGTCGCAGCGGTCTTGTCCCCGTGTTTTTATTGCCTGGCGGCTCCTGTGCCGCTTTGCTGCAGGCATTATTGGCGGGGAGCAGCTCCTCCGTTTGCCGGTGTGTTTTGGCAGCCCTCCCAGAGCTCCTTCCAAGCACACGTCGACATGGGTCTGGAAGGGTAGGTACATTGCTGGCCGTTTGTCACTGGCTGGGCTCCGGTCGGTGAAGAGCCGGACGCGCTCATTCACCGGTACGGCGCTCTTATCTCAAACGAAAAGATAAGACGCCATTTGAAGGGGGCCAGAATTTGCAATCATGTACATGGCCATCGTGTAGCTGTGAGATGGCGTCCAAGTATTGGTAGGAGGTACTTTAGCTACCTTACCCAGGTGCGATGTCCGTCTCGTACCTCAGGTGTAGGCAACTTGAAGCTTTGCGGCTTGATCAATAAGAACCCGTTTTGGTGACCCAACAATTGAGGCATGCATACAAATAACAATGATAAAAACAGACAACAACACGAAACATGAATCAATGATACGCAGCAGACCAGCCACTCAGTCTCCTCATTGAATTTAAACTCGTCGGCAATGCCCTGGGGCACTGGAAAGGACCCAAATGCAGCAACATCACCCGAACTGAGGGCCCGTGCACGACGAGCATCCCCTTCCCCGGGCGCTAGCATCGCTCCCGCCGTCGCTGGGATCCCTGTCCACCACATGGCGGGGGGGGGGGCTTGCCAAGGTGCCCCGTGGAGGCACGCTGCACGACCGGTGTGCTTCCCTCCAGCAAGGTTCCCTTCCAGCTTGCCAGCCAGCCCAATCAGGTCGGTCTGCACTTTACACACAACTCGACACACACACCTCGCACGCCGGGACACACCACACAAACGTGGTACCGGCACCAACCAAACTGAGGTAAGGGTATCTGTCAGTCGCTGCAGTCAATCAGTCAGTCAGGTTGGAGGAAAGCAAACGCGCACACAATCAATCAACGGCACTTTCCAGCCTGAGGCCCCCATCTTTTTTCAACTTCACCTCGTCCTCAAGCGGTGCTGCCTCCTCCTCCGTTCGCCGACCTTCAAGGCAGGAAGGCAGGAGACGCTCGTCGGTCGCCGCCTCCCCCGAAATCTGAGCGGATCTGACACACTTCCTGCCTCCAATTCAACTGCCTTCCACCACGATCGCTCTTTTTTCGCTCCCTCGGCCGCCCACGACGACGCGCCGCCGCCGCCTCCACACCCAACCAACCCCCAGCCTCATTCACTCCACATCCATTTGCTGCCTCTCTTGACATCATCGCAGCAAACAATTACTCAGTCTCATGTCTGTCCCTTTCATCGCACTCACTCCGCCGTGAAAGTGTTGCTCATCCCGATCGCTCCATTCGCTCAGACCCTCTCGGTGCCGCGACTCAGGTGAGTTATCTTCGCCATACCGCCAGAACCCGTGTCAGACCCAGTTTCTCATCTCATACAGGTACCGAACCCGACCCAGCATCATGGCCGCCCCTCCAGTCGACCCGCTGGCTGCCGCCACCCAGAACTTGATGGCCGCCGTGCAAGGCTACGTCCGCGCCGCTGTTGCTTCCGAGATGGCCAACGGCCCGGTGCAGCCCCGCCTCGCCAACCCCGACTCTCTCCGTGCCCGTCTCGACACCGCCATTCAAGAGAATCGCGACCTCACGGAGAGGGTCAAGAAGCTCGAGAGTAAGAACCGCCGGGACAAGAAGCGCATGATTTTTCCTTGCCTTGCCACTGAAGATACATGCTAACATGACGTAGCAGACCAGGACAAGAAGAGGGAGACAGTCGGTAGGTTCCTGTCCTACACCGGCATCGACTTCGAGGCCCAAAGAGCCTCTCGCCACTCGGCGGCCAAGCTTGAGTTCCACTTCTTCAAGAAGCTCCCTCTCGAGCTCCGCATGAAGATTTGGAAGTTCGCCCTCCCCGGCGGAAGAATCTTTGAGATGACTGGCCCCGATGGCCACTTCCACCGCATGATGCGCGCCCACGATCCCAACCAGGCCAACCCCGCCACCGTCCGTATGAACTCGGGTCTGCCTGAGATGTGTGTTACCACCCACAAGACGCCCAAGCTCCGCCTCGCCTGCAAGGAGGCCAACGCCGCCTTCAAGGAGGCAGGCGCCTTTGAGTTCGGCCTTTTCGGTGGCGAGTACAAGGGCGTCTGGTTCAACCACTCCGAAGACATTCTCTACCTGCGCGCCGAGCCCTCCAGTTGGACAAACATCGACATGTCCCGCATCGTCCGCGTCGCGCTGCCCCACACCAAGCTCATGACCAAGGACAATTGCACCGCCAAGATGGACACCATCCTCACCCACTTCACATCCTGCCGCGAGGTCATCATGCTCCAGGCCGTTGACTGGGATTATCGCTCCTGTCTTCCTCCTCCCCGCCTGCCCGCGAAGCTCTACCCTCTTCAGGCCGACGACACCATCGGCCACCACGACTACCCCACCGAGATGTCGACGGAGATAGGAAACGTCGCCGTCTGGAGGGACGTCAAGCGCATCGTCGAGCAGCTGTGGATGGAGCACGTGGTCCAGACCAAGGGTCTCAGCCAGGGCAAGGTGCCCAAGTTCGTCGGTATGGAGATGCTGAGAGCCAAGCACACTCTGTTTGACTAGTATCATTGAGGGCAGGTGGTCCGGCTTTTCTTTAAACTCACGACTTTTGGGATTGTATCATATTCAGGCAAAACATCAGGACTCGCAAGGTGTTGGATTCGGAAGGGTTGCTTTTTCCGACAGGTCCCCGAGATGACTTATGGCAAGACACACACGATTTTGTTTCCTCTTTATACGATGACTTGGCAAATGGGGTCTTGACTTGTGGTGTCTGAACGTAGCATTGTCTTCCTTTGATAAACTCTTCTAATTGCTGGCTATTTCTTTGCTAGAGAAACTCATCGAAGCGAAATTCGTGTCGTGTCATCGTATCGTTGTTCCCGACATGTTCTCTCTTCAGTACTCCTTCCCATGATCTCTTCTTCTGATTTTGTCCCCAGCTCTAGATGTATTGTTCCTTCAACGTCATGTCCTAGTGTACAGTCTCCCAGTGTTGTACTCTTACTCCCTTCGCATCAGCAATATCGGCCCGTCTCACCGGCGCTCTCTCATTCTGCTCACCACCTAATCAAGCCGGCAGAGCCTTGGGTATGGGCGTTCGAAAGACCTCCACAGCCTCCACCTCCAGATCTCCTTCGTGATATTCTCTGACCGTGATTTCGCTGGGCCCCTCCTCATTGATCTCACGTAAGATCTCCTTTCGTCTCTCGAAAATGTTTAAGATCACCTCTTTCGCATCTTCCCAACCAATGACATCGCTCTCAGGCGCATCATAGCCTTCCACAACTTGTCTCTCTTCCATGGGCCAATCGGTATCGTCAAATCCATGATAGCCGACAGATTCTTCGTCCTTGATTTTCCGGAAGACTGGTTCCGTTCCCCTGAGTTCCTTCGCATCCATCTCCCAGGAACCGGGCGGATAGACAGCGACAATCAGCCGCTCGCAGTAGTCGAATTTTGGTGACATCAGGAAGTCTCGGCAGTTTGGCGAGCGGAGCGCACAATCTGCGGAAAGATAGATTGTGGCGGGGGTTTCGATCTGTGTTCTCGTGCACTGCATTTCGCATGCGTAGTATATCGCGTCCGTGAAGACATTATACCAGATGCCTCGCATGCGACTCCCCCAGTAGCCGGACTGGAAGCACCCTCTCGACATACACACACCATACGCCTCGCGGCATGCTTCCCGCATGGCAGGCGGGGGGAACTCTGTAAGGAATTTTACTGGTTTCAGAACATCCGTGGAGGAAGCCTCCGGTTCGTAAACCCGAGGCGGAGGAAGGGCAAGGTTCCAGATGCCACGCCGAATCTCAGGCGGGAGCTCTCGGAAGCGATGGAACGTAGTTGCCGCGACTGTCCGAATACAGTCAGAACTGTGCTCTTTCAAGAGAATGCTTGGCTTACCAGGTTGGGGAGCTTCGATGGCATTGGCGGGCGGAAGGCCTAGAAGCCAGCGTGCCGCACCAAAGACCTTCAACATTACGCCGATGGAGAGACTGACGGCAGTTTGTTCCTGTAGATGAAGATGTGTCGTCGTATTTGTAGGTGGGTGGTTGGGGCAGAAGGGCAGGGGCCTCCTGAACGAAGTGGGAGTGAAGAAGGAAGGCAGCTGGCTGCGACCCGCTTCGAATTTTACGTCGACGAGATTAAAACGTGAGATAGGAAGGCGCCTCAGACTTTTGCAGGGGAAGAACCACCTGGACTTGTTCAAGGCAAGAAGCGTGCGGAGGGCAGTCGCGAGACATACGGTTTAATCTCCACATCTTCGAAAGGTTTACCGTTTCTGGAAACAACGCACACATTCAACGACATTCGCTCAACTACATCCCATACGCTCTCCCAAATTTCTTTGAGAATCGACTAATAGTCAACAAAAATGGCGTTCGATACGAGCAATGTCGACGCATCCGATCCGAAACAGACACAATCAGCCGCGACCTTCCACTACTTCTGCAAGCTCCCTCCCGAACTACGTATCAATATTTGGAATGCCGCCCCGCCCAATTCTCGTACAATCGAGATCACCGGCGACGTTCTCGAAACGCTTTCCGATACCGCGCGACTTGTCAACCTACCTAAACCCCCGGCCATCCGCGGCGTCTGCCACGAAGCATGGGAGATCACTCAGAAAAACTGGGTGTATTCTCTTGGACTGCTATACGAAGAGTTTGGAGAAAACTTCCCGGGATTTTGGTTCGACCCGGATACGGACATCATCTTGGATTGGAAATGGTGGAACCGAGAATTCGAAAACCGGCAGTTCTTCGAACGTGTTCGAAATCTCGCCATCTGTTCGCAAGACGTGTGTCTAGAAGAAAACATTGATCACTCTCTTGATTTGATTCGGAGCGTATTGCCAAACATTCACCGCCTCGTCATCCTGGACTTTGACGATGTTCGTCTCGACGGCGAAGAGGGTCTCATTCCGGAGCTTTGTCTGATAGACGACGACGAATACATCATCACCTCCCGCGATTACGGGGAGACTTGGCTTGATTTGGACTACTTTTCTCGGGATTATGATGTCGAGTGGTGGATGTTACAGGAATATTTGGAAAATCGGCTGAAGGAAATCGCTGGATCTGACGAGCAACGGTCTCTCACAATCGAAGGGGCGGAGCTCATTTTCCATCGAATCCGCGACGTTAAAGACCAAAATTAACAGAAATCAGGAAATTGAAAATGGTCAAGTCGAGAATTCTGACAGAGATTAGAGGGAGTAGATGGGCTGGTGGTCAGTTATAGGCGAAGGACGACAGGGGGGAAAGACATCAAGGGCGAGAATGGCTGCAGAGATGAACAGATAAGAGACTGTCTACTTTTCCCTTATGTCCAAATATGCTCTGTAAATCTATTATTATCGTCGTCGTCGTCGTCGTTGTTTGCAGCGTCGTCGTCCGTTATTGTCGACCGTTGCTATCATTCCCTCTATTCGTTTTCCTCCTTCAACTATCATCCTCAGAACGAGGGACGCTGCTGACTGTGAATTTGCAGCTCCTTCCTTGTTCAAAGGATATTTCATCTTTATATTTCTCTCGCGTAGCTCTCTTCCTTCCACCTTTTACCCCCCTCCATCCTTCTACAAACAACTCGAGATTTCTCGCCTCGCACAACCAACCCACCACAGCCTACCTAAATACCCAGATTACCAAAATGGATTCAATGATGAGCCTGATCGAGGTGGCTTCCAGCACTGTTGCCAAGCAGTGCGAGGTCATCACGAGAATGACGCATGCCCTCGCCACGCAAGGTGCACTTTCCGCGTCCCAAACGAACGATCTTTTAGAGATTCAGAAAACAATCAGCAAGACAATCGAATCCCAGGCAAGCACCGTTCAGCGCTTGGCTGAAAGTCGCGCGGCCAGCAAGTGCGACTTCGGCCGAGCAATGCCTGGTAAGTGTTTCCGGTTGATCTCCCTATCAAAACTAACGATACTCGCAGTCACGACCTTCCCGCGCTTCAGCCGAATGCCGCCCGAAATTCGCAAGTCAGTTTGGGAGATGACACTACCAGATGCCCGCGTATTCGTGCCGTACGAGAACGATCAAGACCAAATAGCCCTCCGGCAAGCCTACAAGCCTCCTGCCGTACGAGCTGCTTGCAAAGAAGCTTGGCTCGTCACAGAAGAGAAGGGAAGATTCGCTTTCGGATACAAACATACTCGTACTCATGGGTTCTGGTTTAATCCCAGCAAAGACATTGTATTCGTTCGATACGATGAGGTGTCCGATGACGTCAAGGAAGCGATCAAGTCTGCTCGTACTCAGAACATTGCACTGCAGTGGTATGAATTCTTCTCGCAGAGGACCTGCGTTTCTCGAATGGAGTGGGCCAGGGACTACCTCAAATGCCGAAAACTCATCGTCACAATCCGTCAGCAGGTTATGAGGAGCGTTGAAGACATCTACTGTGCGCGGCTCTTCAAATTGCTTGACCGTGACTATGTCTTTATGTCTCAGAACTGGAAGGACGACGAAGATAACGACGACGATGAAAATGACAATGAAGATGAGGACGATGATGATGGCGGCCAGCAATGGGCCACTTGGGCAAAACTGAAGAAAAGGTTGGAGAAGATTCAGTCCAACCGCCTGGAAAGACAGGACCGTCGTCTCGTTTTTGAAGGCATGGAGCTTCTGTTCAATAAGCGAACTTGATGACGGCGAACAGGGAACCGGGTTTGCAGAAGGATGCAGAGAATCTTTGACCAAGAAGGATCACATCGAAGCAACACAAAGTGAAGCTTATGTTAGACCGTAAGCAAAGCAGATGTGGCAGTGTCGATATTTTATCGAAGAGGCTGGACTTGCGAACGGAGAACATCTCATATACGGCGCGAAAAGTTCTTTTGATGAGGGATTCGTTTTGATCACGGGTCAACTACCTGGGACTATCGGCTTCGGGACTGACCGGCGAGTAGACTAGTTGAAGTCCTCTTTTCACACCAATACACATATCCCTTTAAATTTCTTCGGTTATCGAGTCTTTTCAAGTCAGTGGTCAGTGATGTGTCAAACGGAAAGGACTACAGCATCGCAAAGGCCCCGCCGTCACTTTCTGTTCCGAATTTCAGCCCCGGGGTCTTGGTCGAAACGAAACCTCGAGGTTACTGACCACTGGGCATTGGCACTTTCCAGATCCATGGAAGTTGTTGCCCTTTTACACACAAATTTCCGTATACGCTCCTTCCATGCTTCATAGAAGCCACCCCCTCCCTATTCCTCCAACGAGTTCTTCCTCCCCATGTCTCGCAGACCTCTGCCTCTCTTCGTTCCCTCGCCCTTCTTCTTTCACCTCTCACTCTCGTCCCACTACACAACAGGAAATATCGCCAAGCTACGAAGTTTTTGTTCCCAATATGGATGGACTACACCTTTCCGCCGCCGCCACCGCCCAGGGGGTATCGGAGCAATTCAGAATCATCGAAAAGATGGCACAAATGGGCGCTGAGCAAAGCGCAAGATGCCGGGCGCCTTCCCAAACGAAGAGGCTCATGGGTAATGACCAAACCTCAGCAGTTCGCACGAACGCCTGGCTAACTACTGTGCAACAACAGAGATCCAGAAGGAACTCATCGCTATGATAGAGGTCCAGACTCGCATCATCGAGCGACTCCCGATGATCAGTCGTTAGTTCCGTGTTTTCCTTTGGAAGGGAACCAAGAAAGCTCAAATGGATCTAGGTCCAACTTTCCACAGGTTCTCAAGGATGCCCAATGAGCTTCGACACATGATATGGGAGTTGGCTCTTCCTGGCACTCGCATTTTCTGCCCTCAGCGCGACGCTGGAGACAACATCTGCCTCCTTGAAAAGCACAAACGGCCTGCAATTCTCCATACTTGTAGCGAGTCAAGAAAAGTCGCCGAGAAGCACGGCGACTTCCAATTCGGCCGCAATGGCTCGAGGACTTATGGGTGCTGGTTCAATAACAACAGAGACATTGCTTTCATCCAGGATTTTATGTGGCATCCTAGGAATGCGCAATTGCCTTTGAACAACTGCAAAATCATTGCTGTTGAGTGCACTAACTTTACGACTAAGAATGACTGCATTGCGACTATGAAATGGATTTTGGGGCATGTACCAAAGTGTCAAAAGGTCATCATCTGCTCTCGCCCTGATTCTGATAACCTCAGGTCACCGCAGATGTTCGCGCTTCGTGACAATGAGCAAGTAAGGATATTTGGTACCCTTTATGAGGGTGCAGCTACATGGGGAGACTCAAAGAGGATTCTCGAGAATTTCTTCAGCCAGCAGGCAACCCTCGATGCGTTGCAAATCACGGAGAAGGAATTGCCGGGGCTGGAGGGTAAGGAGGTGCTGGAAACTCTCAAGCCATGAGCTTACAGTCAACCTCAGGGCTCAGCCGAGATAGTCATTTGAACTTCAAGGGGCCGAGCATCGCCTGGTAGATGACGAAGCCTCGATCAGGCTTTCTAGAAGTACCAAAATAGAGCTAGCTGCTGTAGACATCAACATGACACTGATGCTATGTCATGCATTCTCTGACGTTGCTTTTGATCTTCTCGTCCTCTCTATTCTCTAAGCCGTAAATGCTTCCTCACTGTTTCTTCACCAAACCTCGTGAGGCTTATCTTGTAAGTCAAAAGGGCATTACCACAGAATTTCCATCGAGCGTTCAAGCCACCGCATCCGACTCCGACTTACCCTCAGGTTCCACCACAATTTCGGCTTGGGACTATGGGAAGCAACCTGGATAGACATGGCGCCGTATGTTCAATTTCTTTTTTTCTTTTTTTTTTATCTCGATTGGGGCCTCTCTGCTTTTCAACAACCGTGGCCGCCTCACACCAAAAAGGCTGACAAGAACGACCCGAAAGTACGTCGCTGCCGCATATACCAACCCATCCTCAAACCCAGAAATGGAGACGCAGTGGTCAAGTGCTTTCGTTGCGGTTTGCGCTGCCTGCGATATATCCCTCCTGAGCGTAAACGACATGGAAAAGCATGCGGGGCACACAGACGACTTGGAGCGGAACATGGAAGAGTCCTTGGAGTTCCAAAATGCATTCCTCGAGCTTCTACGAACGAAACACCAAGCACGAAGGGTGTCTGCAAACGAGGTCTACAAGACATATACCCAAAGCCCACAACATCCAAGCATACAGCCACCGCAATGGAAGTCCTTGAATGAGTTCGTCTTCTGGCTTGGCCAAGAAGGTCTATACACCGTCGACAGGAAGCCGGACGGCCTCCACCTCGCCTACATCGCACCCATCCACCGGACGCCCGCTGCTCACGAGCGCGAAGAGGGACGGCGACGGCACGTCCACGAGAATAAAGTACCACGGGAAAGCTCCATGAGTGTGTCGGCAAACCAAGCAAAGGATGGATCTTGCCCTACACCTGCCGGGGCTCCTGGGCAGTTCGACTTCGATCAGACTGTCAAACTCCAGCTTCCAATCCGCTCTCGTACAGAACATCGGCAGACATCTAGAACAAACCCTCGGTCAGTGGTATTTGAAGTTCATCAGGTAAAGAAGAGAACAGGCGGAACGTTGTAGATAGTTTGGCTCACACAAAGGCTACAAAGGTGTAAAACAGATTCTGCAGTTTGTAAGAGTGATACTCAAAAGACAAGACTGGATGGGTTTGGTGATCCGTGCACAGCATGATCCGCGCTAGTCCAAGAGAGGCATGGTGCGGGGTAGGTAAGCTACCTTCCGCCAGTGAGGTCTGCCTTGAGTGTGTCGCGGGGCAGCTTTCTTCTGGGTTCCATCGTCAACAACATCGTCACATTCCACTGACATTGAGCCACCACCACTTCGGGCTGCGAAGATGAGTACGGTTCACATCAAGTCGCCGGCGGAGTTCCAGAAGCTCCTGTCGAGCTCCCGCATAGTCGTCGCCGACTGTGAGTTTCTCCATCCCCAACACCTACTGGAGCCGGAGCACTCTTCCCCTTGACATCCTTGAAGTAGATGGCTGGCAGGCTGCTTCATTGGACTCTGGATGGTCTGGATTGAAGCAATTTCGCCGTTACCTGGGTTGCTAATGTACTCTCTCTTGCTTGAGGTTGCTGACAAATTGGGCTCTCCGCAGTCTACGCCGACTGGTGCGGTCCCTGCAAGGCCATTGCTCCCCTCTACGAGCAGCTCTCGTCCTCCCTGTCACGCAAAGACGTCGTGACCTTCGTCAAGATCGACGTCGAGGCCCAGAAGGATATCGCCAGCACCTACGATGTCACCTCCCTCCCGACCTTCATGGTCTTCCGCGAAGGCAAGGCCATCCAGAAGGTCCAGGGCGCTGACCCCCGCAAGCTCCAGGAGGTTGTCAAGAAGTTGGTGAAGGAGGTCGAGGGCGGATCTGCGTCTGGATCTGGCGAGGGTTCTGGCAGCTCGAGCGGCGGCAGCTGGAGAGGCGCTGCGCTCCCGCGTGGCTACACCGACATCACCGATCAGATTGAGCCCAAGGGCTGCGAGCTTCTGAATGCCGACGAGGACTTTGGTCCCGTCCGTGTCTTGTTCGATACCTCTAAGCCCAGCGCGCTGGCCAAGAAGGAGGGAGCCAAGGACTGGGTTGAGAGTGGCGCTGACGATCAGCTTCTGCTGTTCATGCCGTTCCAGTCCATGCTGAAGCTGCACACCCTTCAGGTACGTTCATCGTTGAGATACAAGCAATCTAGCCTTGCTGACCAACATCGCAGCTGACCTCTCTTCCTCCTACCGACGACGACGACGATGAGGCTCCGATGCGTCCCGGCACCATCCACCTCTACACGAACAAGCCCCATAACCTCGACTTCAGCGAGGCCGACGATACACCTCCTACGCAAGCCATCACTCTCACCGAGAAGGACTGGAACGCCGACGGCACTGCCAACATTGGTCTTCGGTTCGTCAAGTTCCAGAACATCAACAGCTTGATCATCTACGTCACCAAGGGCGACGGCGACGGCGAGAAAGTGCGCCTTGACAGAGTGCGCCTCATCGGCGAGTCGGGTGAGAAAAGAGAGATGGGCAAGCTGGAAAAGATTGGCGATGAGGCCGGCGAGTAGGGGGAGCCTCTCAGTTAAAGATCGGACTAGTGGAGAGGATGAAAATTCTGCGGAAATGCCCTCGATATGAGACATGAATAGAGCCCAAGTCATAGAGGTTTCTCGCAAGTAGCTACGCGGGAAGCCGCAAAACAAGACCAAAGCACGGCCTGCCTGGGCCATTTACAAGATCGCAGGTGCAGCTTCGCGGTGACAACTTGGGTACATTTACGTGACCTGGACGATGCGCCTACTACTGCACGCGTTGCCAAGCTCAGGACGCGATTCCGCAATGGATCTAGAACCGCTTTATTCGCGCGTCCATGTGGTCGAAGAGGAAAGCCTCGATCCAAGGTGAAAATATGTCCGGCCTCTCTTGCGCGTTCCAGCGGTTACAAGCCGACAGGAACAAGTGAAGAAAGGCCGGCTGCAATTAAATTTGTTCTGGGGCACGATTGACGCATTTGAAATCCATTGATTATGGGATTCCAGCAACAGGGGAAACTGTAACGAATCGTGCCAGCCGCACGAAGAAAAAAGGAAGAAAAAAGGAAGTCTTCGTGAAGATCGCGCTCGAAAAAGACTTTTTTATATCGCGACCCGTCGCTGCACGGCCGCTAGAGTGGAGCCGCCCGCGCTTAGGTTATCTCTGCGGAAGAACTATTCTGCCGGAAAGGAAGGACGGTTCATTCAGGTTGACGGGGCGGGGACGAGCTGCTGGATGGGCCCTGACTGGCAACTGCGCCTGCAGGTTGGAAAAAAAAAAAAAAGAAAAAAGAAAACGACGGGAAGGTGGAAGGAAGACATGGTCTGTGCACCCGCCTGCAGCTCACCTGCGAGGTCCAGTGTCCGGCTGCATCCACACCGACGCCCAGTCCCCACACTTTCACTCAGTGTGCGACGAAGAGCACATCGGTATTGAGCCAACTAGATAACCCCAGTCGTCATCCAATGTCGACAAAGATGACGGCGAGCACCATATGAACACACCATCTCCGTCTTCGACCTCGAGCCATCGCGTGGGCCTAGCTCCCACCCCCTTCGCCAACCACCGAGCGACGCATGCGGATCCCAGTCCGGCCCAGATACATTGACATTCTGCACAGTGAATTGGAACCAAGACTGTACACGCAACAGGCGGAACCAACAAATCGACCACTGAATGACCGGGGCTGACTCCTGCCCACAGGTCTAGACAAGCCTCTAGGGGCCGCGCAGGGGGTCAAAATGCGACAGAGGAGTGGAAGAGTCGACCAAATGGTCACGCAACGCCATCAAGTGGCCGTCTTGTTCCCTTCAGATTGATTGCAGCGAGGCCCACGACAAAGCGAAAGTATCAGATATGAGGGGCCGCCAGGAGAAGAGCAATATGCTTAAACCAAACTTCGTTTTCCACATTCGTATTGTTTCTCCGACCCAAGTTTCCAGCAATCGATATCCGGCCCGGTATCAACAAGGTCAAACCCCCCATTGCCATATCGCCGTATCCATTCCCTGGCCTCCGCCCGTTTATCAACGTCAACTTCGGCGAGCTCCTCGCGACGCCCGCCCCTCTTCCGATGCCACCACTTCCCCGACCCTACCCCGGCCAACGTCTTGGCACCTTACCCATCACCCTGCAGCGGCGGCGTGGTAGCAGCAGTCCGGCACCGTGCGATGCCATATTACGGTCCAGATGATGGGCATACCTCAGCTACTACCTACCCAAGGTAGCCCGACAGTCGCAATCACTAACGTATGTAGAACCCGCCGCTCATCGCCAGCTGATGGGATCACGAAGCTACCGCCGCCCAGATTACCGCACACCGCAAGTCTTGGCCTCTGCCAAAATTAGATTGCCATGTCGTGTGCATCGCGGTTTCCGGGCAAGTCGAGTGACAACCCACCGAATGCGGTCTCCCAACAATGCGTTTTCCCTTCTCGCCAGGACGCCGGAAACCCCATTCACGCAGAAACACAAAATCTCACCCTGCCTGCCGAACCCCAGGCTTGCCGGGTATCGAGGTGCATCCATCGCCCGCTCTGACGACAGCGCGTCATTCACTGCCGGCACCACTACCTGATTGGGGCAGTCATGGCGCCCAATAGTTCCATTCTTGCGGCGTACCGTCGTGACATCCCACGTTGCTTTTGTCCACTAAACAGCACCGCAGGGACGGTAGATGACCATGCCTCTAGACCTTAGTCAAAGTTGACAGCCATCAGATGATCGGGACTAGCCCCAGTTTCACCAGTGTGATGGGGAGCTTCCGGACGGGCTCTCAAAACCAGCTTACATTCCCGCCGCCGCTCGCTTTCAGGTGAGAGTTCGTTCCGTCGGCTCTTCTTGTCGTTTCACTTTCTTCCTTGCAAAAACAAGACCTCCTTCTCCTTCTCCGCCTTCTCCTGCGCGCGCCCGGCCTGCTCGCTTCACCTCGCAATAATCCCCGATTGGCGTCGCCTGTATCTTTCATTGCCTCCAGTTCATCAACCTGGGGCGAGTTGTCAAGTCTCGAACACACATCGCTCACCCATCCTGACCCTCTCCATCCCGGCCGGATCCTCGAAACAAACTCGCACCCTCATCTATGCGAGATCTCTCGGGCCGCTAGTCGAAACGTTAAACGAGTGGGTAACTCGGTCCTATATTTCAACTCCCATCCTTCGTCTCGACGCCTCTCGCTCGTCTTGTTGATATTTGGGCCAAGTTCGTTCGCGCGGTCGCCGTCCGAGTGGTTGGGTCCCGCTGCCGATCATTTTTAACCTTCCCCCGCCGAGATCATCCAGCCTTAAAGAAGATCGCCCGCCAGGTTCCCAACAGGCCGCAATTTCAGGACCCCTTGACAGATCTCCTGCTGCGATGCAACCCGGCCTCCGCGTCACACAGAGATCAACATGGCGAACCTTTTCCCGGCTTACAAGAGGGAGTCCTTTGCGGATGCACGCTGCGGCCAGCCGTTCCCCGTCATGAAGCTGCCGGTAGAGATCCGCCTGATGATTTGGGAATACGCTCTGCCGCACTCCCGTGTTTACGAAGTCATGGACGCCCCGAATGCAAGCCAGAAGACGCCCGCCGCTGCAGGGCTCATGTTCGCCAACGTTCGAGATGAACCACCACCAGCCCTTGGCGGAGTCTGCCACGAGACGAGAGTGTTCGTCCTGCAGCGCTACAGACCTCTTACACTGTCCGTCACCACAAAATACGTCGATTTGTCGCGCGATGTCCTCTTGCTCGAGCCGTACTTGCTGGTCAAGCGGCTGCTCCGCACGCTGCACTTTTTCAGCCAGATCCCCCTTGTCCGAGACAGTCTCAGCCGGCTTGCATTTGGAACGTCGTACGGCTTGTACACGGGCATCTGCCACCCCGTCCTCAGTTGGAAAGTCTCCAAGACGAACATGGCGACGCTGCTGGCCCGCCTCGCTAAATTTTCGAAACTGAGAAAGCTGGTCTTTGTCGTCCATCAGGAATTCCAGTTCGACTTTGACGTGCATTACCCGTACGCGGCACCGCAATCTGCGAATAGTAATCTGGGGGCCCTCCGCCCGCAGCAGGTGCACCAAGGATACCGCTTCAAATTCGACATCGAGTCGCATCTCAATTACACACAGCCCCGACACCCGCATTCAAATGAGTTTCTTTACTACCCGCTGGCCGTGGAGGAGGACAAGGATGACTGTTTCGACAAGGACGACCTCGAAGACGAAGCCGACCTTTACGAATCATGGCCGACGAATGACGACTGGCGGCGGTTTAGACGGAGGTTTCATAGGTCGATGCATCTAGCTGTCGAGAAGGGCCCATCTGCAAGTCCTCGGCCAAGGATAATGCCCACGTTGGAAGGCGCGAGCTTGCTGTGGAGGTACAACAAGGCACGGCGTCATTAATATCTGGTTTTTCGTTATTATTTATCACGCATGGCGGTTGAAGATCGAGTCTTATACCCTCTTTGGAAGAACAACATTTCTAGTTTAGCATGGCGCAATACAAGGATGAATAGACATCAATCAAGTCATTGTTATCCCATATCCAATATCTGAGAAAATATAGTACAAAGACGTACATACATAGGGGTCTGGGGGCCTGGGCATTATGACCGCCGCAAGACCTTAGGTTCTTCTGGCTATGCCCCCACACCACGCAAGGTTCATCATGTAACGAACAATGCCAGGAGCACCACCAGCATGGAAACAATCAACACCATGCCCCAATTTGACTTCCTCCCATGCCGATGCTTCTTCTTCCACGCAGAGAGCGGAATACATTCGCCGTTGAGGAGATGCACCATTCTCTCCGGCTCTCTCGTCTCCACACGCTGAACCCACTTCAGCTCACTCTCAGACTCATCGTCTTCATCCTCGATGACCTGGTCCTCGTCGTCGGTCTCCCAATCATCCTTCTCAATAGTCTCCTCGCGCTCATGAGACGGCGACCGACTAGCCTGGCTCGAGGAACAGGAGCTGCTGACGTAGTCTCTCAAGTCTTCCAACGCCAGAGCTTGAGTCGCCGCGTCCAGGGGCGGGATGCTGTCAACCACCCCAGGGTCAGTCGTCACATACGTGAGCGGGGGAAGCTCGTCGTAGCCAGGCCCCGGCTTGACTTGAACGAGGCGGGGCCCCGAAATCATATCGTCGAGTTGGAGCCATTTTCTTGGCGGTGAGCTCGAGTGCTCGCTTTTGTGGTTGACAAGGTCTGTCGACCTTGTTTGTTGTGAACCCGGAGTGACTGTCATAGAGGTAGGAGCCTCGTCATCGGACTCCTGAGAAGGGGGCGGCAGGGAGTTGGCCCTCTCTCTTGTAAGCTTGTCGGCTTTCTGGTCCGCGGGGGAGCAGCCTTGGGCCCAAGAGATGGATCTCGTTGTGGCAGGTCGGCTCTCGGATGCCGTGCTGTGGTCCTTGTTGTCGTTGACCATGGCGCTCGAGGATCCGAACAGAGGCTGCGGCTGCTGACGTTTGGGCTTTTCCCTGTAACTCTTGCTGAAGAAGCTTTCATTTTCGTCCTGGAGACTGGGAGTCGGATTGTTTCTGATAGGATATGGCTCGAAAATGTCCATGGGGTCGGTCCTCTGGCTGGACATCGTTGAGTTGGGAGCGGCTGACGTCGAGTCGCGGCCTGAGTTATGCGTGACCGGCTCCTCGGCCCTCAAGGTTGGCTGGTTGCGCTCTTGGGAGCTAGGGAAGTGCTTCCACCAGACGTCTCCATGGTCTTGAAGAACGGAAATGCGCCTGTCGAAAGTTCTTCTTGAGAGCAGCGACGACGGACGTCCCGGACAAGGGGAGCGGTCACGCCAGAAGCGGGTTTGGTTGGAAGTAGTAGAAGCAGCCATTGTAGATAGTTGATAGATAACTGTAACTCCTTGAATTATTGGGTTGGTGTATGTGTATGTTTTTGAGATGTGAGTGAAGGATATTCAGCTTGACTAGAAGTCTGGTTGTTCCGAGTTTCTGGTCGTACATCCTGAGAAGATCCTGTGCTTATATGGGCATGCCTTCATCAACGGAGATACCTGCGATGTGCAGACTTTTCGTATCGAAGACAGGCCAGTCAGGAAAGCACCTATAAGGGCAGAAACCCAGTGTTTGAGTTTGCCATATTGAAGGCCCTCACTTCATTGAGCAGCACCCGAAGGGTGATGACTGTTTGCAATTGAGGTAAGCATGGTGGTTACGGCTGAGTTGGCTTGAGAAGCCTTACCTTGTACAAATTTGTGGGATGCTTGGTTTGTGATCGTGAATAGTAATTCTTTTGGGTTGGCTGATTACCCAACGAACTCCTCTAGGGACTTTTCCTGTTCTTGAGAACTTTGACGAGTCTCGAGCTCTGCTCTCGTCGTAATACTTTTGCCGTCAGAGGTAAGCCGCTTGCCCGCCCAGCCATTCTCGATGGAACCTTGCGTATGCTCAACCATCTCCCAAGTTTCTTCAGAAGCTTCCAGAGCGTCCGCTATCGTAATCTCCACCAAATCATCGATCTGGACTTCCTGTCGCTTACGGAGAAAGTTCTCTACGTAGTCGCGTGCAGAGACGGCGAGAACCCCGAGGGCAAGCAGCTGGAAGAAGACCACCCAAGGTAGAAACTCTCCTTCTATGCTGCTCACGAAATAACCCTTGTTGTCCCAAGGAAAGTCTCCAGTCATGAACTCCCAGCTGGTTTGGATGAGGCGGACCAGGGGGCTCAACGCAACGAGCGCGAGGACGTATTTGCCAAAGGCTCGATGACAGAATGCCAAGATGAGGAGGCAGGATATCATTCCAAAGGCTCCGAGAACCCTTAGAACTGCCAGCACGGCATCTAGACGTAAGAAGAAGCGTCCAATGGCGCATAGTATGATCGTCAACAACATCTTTGCGTTGGGCTTGTGTAGCTGTCGATCTGATACCTGCACCAAAGGCCCATGTCGGAGTAAGAATTGGCGGGCGACATACCGAAGTCTTTCGTAAAGGTAGCCAGAAAGGTTTCGGCATCTTGGTTTTTGCGTGCGGTTGGGAGACGGACCACAGCCCCGTGATCAGGCCGAACCTTGGCGGCCAACTTTGAGTACCTACATATCCAAGTGACTCACCAATCAACATCCAAGCGGCGATGACTGAACAGCCAGGTCGCCAACGAAACAGTCATAATGGTCTTGGGTGCATCTGATAACCAACAAGTCATCAGAAAAGCCCTTGTAGCTCAATTGGTAGAGCGTCGGCCTGCAGCCCGTCAAGGGAAAGCTAGCTGAAGGTCGCTGGTTCAAACCCGGCCGAGGGTTCTATCCTTTTGCTGGATTCCGTACGCTTTTGCCTATTCCATAGTGTCTTACCTGGAATAAGTACTTCAAGTTTTCAAAGCCTTTTATATGTTGCATTCATGATAAAGTGGGGGCAAAAAGTGTTATTATGCTTTTCTTGTAAAGATAATCAGGAGCTGGATTAACATCACGCTTTCACATCGTCGAGTGGATAGAAGTATGAACGCAGAATCTTTTTGAAAAGAGACTAGGTACCCCTCTGGTTTCTCTCCCTCCGCCTTCTTCTAGCCCTTCTTATCCGTGACTACCGCAGGATCCTGCGGCTCGCCAGTATTGGCAAGACCCTGAAGCAACAAGCCAAACACCCCCGTCGCAGACTCCAGCACGAACCCGACGTACCCTCCGCTCAGCGCAACGGCAGTCCGATGCCAGCCGTTATTCCAGCCTTCACCCATGAGAGCGTACGTCGCCGTCAACCCGAGTCCCATAGTACCGGCAAGCATTCGAGTGTGGGACGTCTGCGACCACACTTCTTCGACCATGATGAGGGTGCCAAGGAACGAGCCGGCGAAGATAAAGGATGCGAAGCCGCCGATGATAGCTTGGCCTTCCGACGGGATGGTGACGCTGCCGGAGCCGAGCCCGGAGATGATGAACCAGCACACGAGATTAATCGAAAGCCAGGTCGCGAAGTAGTTGTGTTGCCATGCGATAGGCTTGGGTCCAGCGGGGTCGTTGGTTCTCATATTATCGTCGTTGGTGGCAGTCTTGCTCATGAACCCTGGTGCAGTAGATGAAGATGAAGCCGCCATATCGTGCTCCTGCGAGATGGTCTTGTCTTTTCGAGGTTGTACTTTCATTTGTGGTGTTTCTCAAAGACGCGTTCGAAGAGAAAAGCGAAGCTTGGCGGACAAGGTTGGTTCACACAAGATGCGTTGGGTGGGTACTGATGGAGGATATATATGCACAGCTTTCTCATCGCTCAAGGTCGTGGTGGCATACTTCGGCACGTACACCCGGCCAAAGTGGCTCGGCTGCCTCCAATACGAACCAGTCGGGCGCGCGCGCGCTCAGTACCCACGCGGAAATCCTTTGAGGCTTACTGCTAGGCAACATCAGCCATAATTCTAAACGATCAGAACTTTGTTTTGACTCTCGCCCCTCCGTCCGAAATTCGCAATAGTAGCATAACCAAAGTCCCCATATCGATGATACACGGGTACAAATCGCGGCGCAGCACCATTTAAGCCTGGCCTACATCGCCTTTAGGTGGGTACCTTCCATATGTTGAACGCCTCAAAACACCATGTCATTAATATCTATTTTCTATCTCTAATCACGACTGCGACTTGATCATGAAAATCTGCCTCGAGTTAGTAAACAGATACGCATCGTGGGAATATCCATGTCACATACCTGGTTCAACGCCTTGTCGTCCATAGTTGCCATCCTCTTCTGTGCAATCCATCGTGATCTAACAGCGTGGTGACCTCTGAGAACCGGTGTTGAAGTACCGCTCGCTGGTGTTGACGTAGCCGGCGTGGACGAGGACTCCCGCGACGCCTCCTTTTTGGCGCGCTTTTCCTCCTTGCGCTTCCTCTTCTCTTCCTTCCTCGCGGCCTTCTCGGCGTCGGTCTCCTTTGCCTCAGCCTTATCCTTCTTGCTCTTCTTCTTTGACGCCCTTTCGTCAGAGCTCTCGGCGTCGGAGCTGTCCTTCTCGGCCTTCTTCTTTTCCTTCTTCTCCTTCTTCTTATCCTTCTTGGCCTTCTTCTCCGCGTCGTCCTGGGTATCTTCGGAAACATCCTCCTTCGCAGCCTTTGACTTGCGCTTCTTCTCCTTCTTCTCCTCTTTCCTGCGCTTCTTCCGTGTCTTCTCGTCCTCGGAGGATTCCGACTCGTCGCTCGACTCCTCGGCCTTGCGCTTCTTCGACTTCTTGCTCGAAGACTCCGCGGCGGGGATGTCCTCCATCTTGACATCATCCTTGCTCTCCTCCTTGGGCTCGCCGTCGACAGACTCCTTAACCTGGTCGCCCACGAGGAAGCCGCCGCTGACGAAGCGCATGGGGCCGAACTTGGTATCGCAGTACAACGTGCTCTTCAGCGCCTCGCGGGCCTGGCGGTCCTTGTCTATCGCCTCGGTCGATTTGCCGTTCAGACGTCCCAGCAGGTCGGAGAAGACGTCCATTCCCGTCACTCTGTCATCCCTGGCTTGCTTGAAGCCGAGCCCGAGCATGTCGTCCTTGAGGGCGACGCGGATGAAGGAGGCATTGGCGGCGGTGTGGTGCACGGCATGTGCTGCGTCTTTGGCGCCGAGATATTGTCCGGGCTCCCAACCTTGCGATCGCAGCATCCGCTGGCCGAAGGATTCGGTGTCCTTGGTCCATTTCGTGTTGTTGGGATCCTTGCCGATCTTGCGGCGGCTACTTGGTAGGATGTCAGTAAATAAAGTCGCATGTCACCGTAGAATCCCATGGTATGTCTCTTACGATTTCTGCTGCGCCAGACCCATCTTTGCGGTTTGACGAGAGACCAACCCGTTGAATGGAGAAGGGAGTTTTCGAGATGCGATAAGGTGCCAGTGCAGATTCCATTATCGAAGAAAATTTTAGTGGGGTCTGATTGTCTGGAGTCCAGCCATCCCTGCAGCCGAAGTAACCCCGCCCCATCCTCACCGAACTCACCGGCGCTGCATTCAGGCAGTGCTCTTATATCACGAAATCTCCCAACACACGGAAGTAGCAAGCATCTCTTGCAATTTCGCAGATCCGCTAGAAACAAAAGTGCAGGATAATTTCTTTCTTTATAAATAGGATCAAAAAAGAGGACCAAAATGACAAGAGAGTTCCCATGCTCCCACGTCTAGGATACTGACAGGTAATCTCTTGTCGACGACTCGAACCTGGACCTCGCCGAGCCCAAGTCCGAGCCAAACCACTTCACTCTAACCGACCACACCAACTGACCCAGTTTGACCTGAACTCCCACCTGGGAGCCGCCTTCTGGGCCGGGAGAGTTGGAATTGGACCAGACTATAAGGGACCGGTCGGCCATCCTTCGCTTCCAGTATGGAATTGGGGTATTGAGTGACTCACAGACTAGTCGCAACGCCTTCGGTCCCTTGAGAGATTATTGTTGTCCCTTCCGCCTCCGGTGACAGCATTCGCCCTCACCGCTGCCAATGCCAGTCTGCGCTTCCGTTCAAACAACGCAGCCCGTTCTTGCACCTCTTGCATCCCTTAGCGGCTTCCGGCCATAGCATGTCTCGCCTCCCCCATTCTCAACTTCTAACCCACCATTCGTGATATTGCACAAGTAGCCCAGAAGAGAAGCCTCCAGCGGTAACAAGTTGCTCATCTGCTCTCGCAAGCTTGCAGCATCCTGTGCCCTGCATCCTGCGTGCGCACCTTGCCGTCGTCCTCTGCCTCAATTCCAAACAAGACGCCCCGGCCTCGTACCTCGGATTCCCACATTTTGCCGATCAACGTAGGCCATGGTGGGTTTGCCGACGATCCCGACAGAGTAAGGAAGACGTGGACAAAGCCACGGGACACAAGGACGCTCGGCTCTGGAGCTACGAATGATGTCCATGGGTTCGACTACTGATTTTTGGTCAATGTACAATATTTCAAAGGTCATGCGGATGGAAATCAAAGGGACGAAAGATCGGTCGCAACTACATCGTGATCATTCCTCGCGGCAACACACGATCCTACAGGGAGAGAACCACGTAAAGTGATGACCAGATTGTAGATTGCCCCAACAACACTCACTGCAGCACACAAAATGGCAGTTATCAAACCAGAGTCGTGATGGTTCTTTATTTCCCCAACGCCGTGTATGCTTCGGTCGTACTGTACATCTATCGTCGCATCGATTTACCCGTTTTCATTATCGGCTCGACTATCCCCTTACACCGTGAAGCCAAAGCCCTTCATGCAGTTTCGGTATTGGTCGATCGTCGAAAGGCAGTCCTTGGCCGGGTCGGCGGCGTTGGAGAAGAGCATGCACTCGTCTCGTTTCGCCTTCTCCTCCTTGCATACGCAGCAGGGCTATTGAAAAGAAAGCGTCAGCAGGTGCTCGTCGCACGGGGTCGTGTGAGATAAGGGGAGGGAGAGGCGAGGCTCGTCGTTCAGTCGTGCGCACCTTGGGCTTGGAGGCTTGCTCGTTTGCGGCAGCCGGCGCGGCGGCCGGGGTGGAAATGGAGGCTGCGGAGTCCTTTTGTTAGCCATTGGGAGGGGAGGGTTTGTGTCGCGAAGGATTCCTTACGCAGTTCGCAAGCCTGGGAGGCCATTGTGCGTGTCTAGCGAGTGTTGGGTGGCTTAGGAAACGATTTGCGATTCGGGCTGCGGCGAACAGATGATTGAATATAATCGGCGACCTCGGTCAGTCCACTTTTTTTTTCTTTCGCACCTTACATCACCAAAGCTGGTAGTGTCGCTTTGTAATTCACCCAACCGTTCGGGGATCCTGGGCCTCCAGCCAATCACGCCTTTGGTATGTCACGTGCAGCAACCAACACGCCCAAGCTTCTGCAGGGCGGATATTTTCTTGGAGCAAGTCATCTAATAACCCAGTAAAATAGGTAATCTGAGGTAGCAGTTGGACAGGTTCGTGCCAAAGCCATGGTTTGCATCCATCGTCAGAAAAATGTCTCATATTTCGCCTATGAGGGGTCTTTTGGAGGCTCCAGAACGAGTCCCGTCTTACGCAGGCTGCATGGCATCATAAATCGGACCTTGAGAGAATAAGCCGCGATGCGACGTCCGGTGTGTGTGGGGAAAACAGCCGGTCCTCTGTGGACAGGGGCCCGATTGGACCCGATATCGTGCCCCGCAAGACGGAAGGACCTCGCGTCCGGAAGACCCGCATTCTGCCGCAGCTGACGAGCGGTGTGTGCCACCTGGCACTCTTATTAACCCCTGATTTGAGGATAGACGCAAGATGCACTTAGCCTAGCCTGGCTTACACGCTTTGAGATGGGCAAATTTGGCGAGAGCCGGTGCACGGTTTTTTTGTCAAGTTATGAGCTGGCATCTGTTTTCTTTTGTCTTCCCTGGAGATGGGGTCATGGCATCCATGGACATGGAACGCCGTTTCCAGAAAGGGGCATGTCGTACCTGCCCGGTTGGTTGGTTGATGAGGTTGGTGGTTGCCATTTGGGTAACCCCGCGGGTAGTGGTGGGATATAAATTCATGAGCCGAGTCCCCCACGAGCTTTGTCTGATGAGATTGAACTTCAGAACCATCTTCCTCTTGACTCCTCGTTCATCTTCACGACTATGCTACTCACACACAAAATGCTGTCTGTCGAGGAGACCTTAGCACTTGGCACCCCTTCTGCCGAATGGGACGAGGTGATACATGACAACACCACATTTTTTGCCGTCATACCGCTTACACCTCATAGGCCTTCAAAACCAGCCCGCCTCGTGTGAGTGGCTGGACAATGGACACTGACCTGGGTGGACTGAGAGCCATGATGGCCCAGGCCGGCGCAGCCCAGCGCGCAGCAGCCCCAGATCCATCAACCGTACCCTGGGTTGAGGAGGAAATCCAGATTCCCACGAGAGACGGCGCGTCTCTCATTGCCCGCATCCATAAGCCCAAGCAACTCCCTGAGGACGGCTGTCCTGTTTTCGTGGCCTTCCACGGTGGTGGCTTCATCATTGGATCCGTCGAAGAGATTTCGTTCGTCTGCCGCGCCTTCACTCAGCTGGGTGGCATTGCGGTGAACGTAGAGTATCGTCTTGCTCCCGAGAACCCATTTCCCATCCCCGCGAACGACTGCTACGACGCAGTGTCCTGGGTGAGTAGCGCAAAGCCCGAGTGGCTTTCAGACGAGTAAGCTGACCGCCCATAGACAATCGAGAACACCAAGAACCTGGGAATCAACCCAGAGAAGGGCTTCCTCGTTGGCGGCGAGAGCGCCGGCGCAGATCTGGCTCTTGGTGTCGCCTATCTTTGGGGAAAGGAGCAGCGATCACCCCCACTGACGGGCATTTACTCGTCAGTTGCCGTTGCAGCTACGGAGGAAACTGTCCCCGCGAAGTACAAGGATCGCTTTCTGAGCATGGAGCAAAACGCGCATGCGCCAGTCATCACGAAGGAGTCCGTCCAAGTCATCCACAGTAAGACTACCCCGCAGTTTTGTAAAAGTTCCGTACTGACAAGGGTGCCAGAGAACTACAAGCCTGACTTCACGAGCCCCGTCGCCTACCCAATCCTGTCTCCAGACCTCGGCAACATCATGCCCAAGACCTACTTCCAGGCCTGCGGTCTCGACCCTCTGAGAGATTGCACTCTGGTCATGGAGCAGGTGTGGAGGGACGCGGGGGTGCCAACCAAGTTGGACCTGTATCCCGGTGTGCCTCACGGCTTCTGGGCAGTTTACCCGCACTTGAAGGCTAGCCAGAAGTTCCTGGAGGACGGCGCAATCGGTCTCCGTTGGTTGCTGAGTTGAGTGGTGGGCGTTTCGGTACTAGAGCTGGCAGGGAGGTCTTCAACTGCTTTGAGCAGACGTTTCGTTTCTTTCAACATACCCCTAGAGTTGCATTTCTCTTAATTCGATCAATGAATCTAAAGTAAAGACATGGAAAAAGGACCTGGCAGCAATCTGAGTGATTTTTTCCCGCGCGACTTACATGCAGCCGGTTTCACGCCATGAAGCTGTAAGAAGAAAGTTTAATATGAGGGACTCAATCCCTGACGGCCTGCTGCGGAGTACTGGCGCGGACCCCTGTAAAGCATCGAGCTCCAGTGGGGGCCCCCTTGCAACCTCTCAACGCGCTCACGCCCTGGAGACGCGACGGGACGAGACCGGGGCCTCCTAATTGACATCACCATCCAAATCTTTCCAAGCTGGTTCACAATCACCACGCAACAACCGCACCGCCAATCTGCTTGTCGTACACAATGGCGCCCAAATCGAAGCCCCCCGAGAAGCAGCAGCGTTCGCTGACGAGCTTCTTCAAACCCAAAACCGTCAATGGCCTCGCCGAGGCTTTCCACAAGTCCCAATCCGAGTCCAGGACCAGCCCGCCCGAGTCGCCAGAGAGCTCGCGCAAGAGACCATTGGAAGAGGACGCGGATAAGGGGAACACTGGGCTGGAGAAGACGTCAAAAAGAGCAAAGGCCGACAACACCGAAGTCGTCGACCAAGGGAAAAGCTCGTTCTTCCCTGGCGGAAAGAAGAAACCTGACCAGGAGCCTAAGGCGAAGGCATCAGCATCCGGAAGTAGGACAGGACGCTTTGTCTACAGCCAAGAGTCAAACGAGAACGAAGAGGAGGAGGACGACGACCCGTCGACAAAGAAGCACAGGGAGGAGCTCCACAAGAAGTTTGTGAAGAAGCTGGGCCATCCAGACAGCATGCTGCGCCGCCGCTACCGAGAAGACGACAACGAAGCTGCCGAGGGAGAGGAGGGCGATGAAGACGAAGAAGATGAGGCACCGCCGCCACCCAAGGCGAAAAAGGGCGGCGCTCGAGCGAACAAGAAGCTCACACCAATGGAGATCCAATTCCTCGAAATCAAGCGCAAGCACCTCGACACCGTCCTCATCGTCGAGGTTGGCTACAAGTTCCGATTCTTCGGCGAGGACGCCCGCATTGCCGCCAAGGAGCTCAGCATTGTCTGTATCCCGGGAAAGTACCGCTACGATGAGCACCCCTCGGAAGCACACTGGGACCGCTTTGCGTCAGCGAGTATCCCAGTCCACCGGCTACACGTCCACGCGAAGCGTCTAGTTGCCGCTGGACACAAGGTCGGAGTCGTTCGACAGATTGAAACGGCTGCCTTGAAGAAGGCCGGCGACAACCGCAACGCACCATTCGTACGAAAGTTGACCAACGTCTACACCAAGGGCACCTACATCGACGAGAACGGCGAGCTGGAGACTGGCGACGGCGGTGCTCCCTCTGGAGGGTATCTGCTGTGCATCACCGAAACCCCGTCAAAGGGCCAGGGCACTGATGAGAAGGTCGATGTCGGCATAGTGGCCGTGCAACCGACAACGGGAGACATCATCTATGATACCTTCGAGGACGGCTTCATGAGGAGCGAGATCGAGACGCGCCTGTTGCACATCTCACCATGCGAGTTCGTCATTGTGGGCGATCTCACCAAGGGCTCCGACAAGCTCATTCGTCATCTGTCAGGAAGCAGCACAAACGTTTTTGGCGACCGCAGCCGCGTCGAGCGCGTCCCTCGATCTAAGACCATGGCTGCCGAGGCCTACTCCCACGTCACGCAGTTCTACGCCGAGAAGCTGCAGCAGACCCCAGACGCCGCCGCCTCCGCTCTCCTGGACCGCATCCTTCATCTTCCTGAGCCTGTCACGATATGTCTTAGTGCGATGATCTCACACCTCAAGGAGTACGGACTCGAACACGTTTTCGATCTGACCAAGAACTTTGCCAGCTTCTCTGCGCGCCAGCACATGCTCCTGAACGGAACAACCCTTGAGTCCCTCGAGGTTTATCGCAATGCCACAGATCACTCTGAGCGCGGTTCTCTCTTCTGGGCATTGGACAAGACTACTACCCGCTTCGGCCAGCGCCTCCTCCGCAAATGGGTCGGCCGCCCCTTGCTTGACGTCTCCCGTCTCGAAGCTCGTGTTGCCGCCGTACAGGAGCTTCTGGACGAGCAATCTTCTACAAAGGTGGACCGCCTCGAGATTCTCCTGTCCAGCATCAAGACCGACCTCGAACGCAGTCTCATCCGCATCTACTACGGGAAATGCACCCGCCCGGAACTCCTTTCCGTCCTCCAGACCCTTCAACGCATCGCTATGCAATACTCAACCGTGAAGTCAGCCGAGGAAACAGGCTTCACCTCGCCCCTGATATCCTCCGCAATCTTTTCCCTCCCTCAAATCCTCGACCTCGTCGTCTCGCACCTCGAAAAGATCAACCCGGAAGCCGCCCGAAAGGATGACAAGTACAACTTCTTCCGCGAGTCGGAACAGACCGAAGATATCGAGGACCACAAGATGGGCATCGTCTCCGTCGAGCAATCCCTCGACGAACACCGCGCCGAGGCCGCCTCCTCCATCAAGCGCAAGAAGCCCGTCGAATACGTCACCGTCTCCGGCATCGAGTTCCTCATCGAAGTCCTCAACACAGACCTCAAGTCCGTCCCGGCCTCCTGGATCAAGATCTCCGGCACAAAGAAGCTCTCCCGCTTCCACACCCCCACCGTCGTCCGCCTGATTCAAGAACGCGACCAACACCGCGAGGCCCTCGCCGCGGCCTGCGACGCAGCCTTCACCTCCCTCCTCCGCGAGATCGCAGACGCGTACCAGCCCCTCCGCGACGCCGTCTCCTCCCTCGCAACCCTCGACTGCCTCCTCTCCCTCTCCCGTGTCGCCGCCCTCCCAGGCTACACCAAACCAAGCTTCCTCTCAACCCCGACCCAGCCCACAATCTCCGTAACGCAGGGCCGTCACCCCATTGCCGAACACACCCTCTCAGACCCCTACATCCCCTTCACAACAAAGCTCTCCTCCCCATCCCCGCTAGCCCACCTGATCACGGGCCCCAACATGGGCGGCAAATCCTCCTTCGTCCGCGCCGTAGCCCTCCTCGTCCTCCTCGCCCAGATAGGCTCCTTCGTCCCCGCCGACGCATTCTCCCTGACCCTCGCCGACGCAATCCACGTCCGCATGGGCGCCCGCGACAACCTCGCCGCAGGCGAATCCACCTTCATGGTCGAGGTCTCCGAGACCGCACGCATCCTTCGCGCCGCTACGCCGCGCTCGCTCGTCATCCTCGACGAGCTCGGCCGCGGCACGTCGACACACGACGGCGCCGCCATCGCTCACGCCGTGCTCGACCACGTCGTCCGCGAGAACAAGTGCCTGACCCTCTTCATCACGCACTACCAGAACCTCGCGCGTCTCGCAGACGGTATCGGCCAGGGGCTCGTCAAGAATGTCCACATGCGCTTCACGGCTACGCGCAAGGATGGCGAGGACGGAAGGGAGGATGACGATGCCGGTGCCGACGAAGAGATCACGTTCCTGTACGAAGTCGGCGAGGGCGTCGCCCATCGCTCGTACGGTCTCAACGTTGCGCGGCTGGCTCGGATTCCCCGCAAAGTCATCGAGGTGGCTGCGCAGAAGTCAAGAGAGATGGAGCAGGATGTAAGAGCAAGGAGGTTACGGGGCACGGCACGTCTCTTGTCCGTTGTGCTGCAAAGCAAGACTGATCAGTTGGAACACTTGATGTCAAACATAGAGCAGTTGTAACACCACCATGTGTACAAATCACACAACGATATGATAATGAATTGCTTTTATTGCTAAGTACCATGCTGTGGCATTACTAGCTGGCCAAGAAGAATGAAATCTCGTGACCAACCGAGATCTCGGCTACCAGGACTATAGTTTCATCCGCACTCGACTGAAGAATGTTCGAGTTTATAGTCTCAAAGTTGGCAACCGTCTCTTCTGAACCACCGTATATACGGCATCCTAAAGGTTCTCGACATGCCAAGCTGGCCAAGCCAGCCTCATTCGTGGTCCTTCGCGAGAGGCACTGCGTAATTGCCCCGAGAAAGCGCAGAAGAAACCCTCCGCATCGCTGAGGCGTGAATCGAAAACGCGCGGGGTCAAGCAACAGCATGCCTGCCTACTTAAACAGCTGGGAAAGTTAGCAATGTACAGGAAAATAGAGGTCGGCGCCTTGAACGTACTTGAAAAGGGAAAATGAAAATGAAAGACGAAAATGAAAGCCTCTGATACACGTCGATTGCCTAACGTCGCCTCTTTCTTTGATGGTCCCACGAGCTACGAAACCTCGGAGTCGTACATCTCAGAAATTTCCATTGAAACCGCCATCCAAGCCCTGGCCCGGATCGTTCTCGTCGAAGACATTGGGGGCGATGGGAAACATGTGAGGGTGGTACAGGTTCCGTTGATCCGGGTGGCCATTGATTGGGTTGAATCCGTGGTGCGCATTGTGTGGCCAATGGTGCGGGTAGTGAGGATGAAAGACAGAGTCGATTGCCTGTGCGTGCGCGAAGTTGTGGAAGGGGGGAGGCATCCCCATGTTGGACATTCTGGCCTGGTTCAAGTGAGCGTTGTGACCACCAAAGAAGCTGTGATTTCCAAATGCCGGATCCTGCAAGCCACAGTTATTTTCCTTCCCTTTGTAGGTTCGGTGCGACAGCTGCTTCGCAGCAGGGGTAGGAGACGCCAACGTCAGGTTTGAGTTCGGGTTCATCGGTTGGAGGGGGATACGACTTCGCACATTGAATCTGCAACAGAGGGGTCATCAATATACCGTATCAATAGGAGAGTTGAGGTCGTGGCCAAGAGCCGACCTAGCTTGATCTGTGATCTGGGTCGGGGGTTGGCGGGCTGTGAACAGATTAGCAACAGCTGAAGATGGAAGCAATGATAGCAACATACGGTCAGAAGAGCCGTCTCTGAAGACATCGCCGGCTCCTACATCAGGTCTGTCAGGGATTGTGAAAGTTCGTTTGAAGTTGCCCATCTGATCCACAAACTGGGACTCGTCGAAGTCTGTGTCAAAACTGTCCGGGTCAGGATCGTTGTCCGCATCGACGTCGCCATGGGGATTGTCGTTGTAGGCAATACCAAGAGGCATGTCAGTGCCTAGGACAAACCCTTGGTTTGGGTCACTGACATCGGCGTCGTCGCTGGCAATCTCGAATCTTTCTGGGGAGTTTTGGAAGTCTGCCTCGGGGGAGGGGCTGGTCATGACCTTCGGACCCTTTTTAGTTCGGACTTGTCTGGCACGAGTGGGCCGCATGAGAGCCTCGTCGTCCGTGTCTAGCTCTTCCTTGACCCTAACAGAAGGAGACTCGAAGCCATCGGTGACAGCGCGTCTCTGACGACCTCTAGGCTTCTTGGCAGGCTGGATATTGTCAGTTTGGTTCCGGGCTTAGCAAGTTGGAAGGCACCATACCGGAGTACCCTCAATGGAAGGGGCATCGTAGACACTGCGAGTCTTCTCAACCTCCAAGTTGAGGTTAGCCACCATCTCGAGGGTAGTGACAGCCTGAGAGTCAAGCTCCATCTGAAGGAGGACCGAGGCGTCCTTGCGCTGGTTCCGCTTCTTCCTCTGATCCGGGGTAGCGGCGTCGAAGAGACTCATGCCGGGCCAGATAATACCCTTGAGTCTAACAGTGTCGTAGTCCTCCTCGACATAGTCGGGACCAGGATCAGCTGGCTCGCCCTCTTCTCCAAAGAATGTGATTGCTTCCTGGTGCTCGAAACTTCCCGTCTTCTTGGCAGACGGAGTCGAAGGAGCGTCGGCGTCGTGCTCAGTCTTGACAGTTACAGCAAGGGACTTCTTCTTCTTCACAGTCTGCAAGAGGTCAGTTCATCTGATCAAGAACGGAGGTTACGGAAACAGCCTACCTGGGCGAGGTGCTGACCAGGTCGCTTGCCATTGGTCATTCCTCTGGCTGCCATGAGACGCTCTGCGAGCAAACGCTCGAGATTGTGCTTGGCGTACCAAGTGTCATAGGTGGCAATGGTCGCAGCGGCGGAGAGGTCTGCGTGGGACTCGAGTCTCGTAGTGTTCAAGGTGTGAAGATGGCCCTTGGAGCTCAAGTGGGTCAACAAGTGAGAAACGTCAGAGAAGCGAGGGTGGCTGGAGCAGATGCAGCAGAGCAGAGGGATAGAAGAGCCATCTGAAGACTTGACGTCGGATGACTTCTTGACAGCTGCCTTCGCGTTGGAACCCTTGCCGGCGTTCTTGGCTTGGGACGGCTGGGACTTCTTGGAAACCTTTGCAGGCTTCAACACCTTGGGCGCCTTGGGAGGCTTGATAGGGGTATCGTTGTCGACCTCAGTCTCACGGGCTGCGATGTCGGCCATACTCTGCTAATTATCAGCAACTGCAAGCATTTCAGGCGGTTTCCGAGGTCAGTCGTGACTGACTGGCAACGGCTTCAGATGAAGCGAGCGTGGTGGGGAACTGGATAAGTTTCTCGGGGTAACCAAAACGCAAAACGAGAGGCAGGAAATCCTCCCTGTGATGTCGTGGACATCAAGTGGGCAAAGAACGACTGGTGTTTCGAGATGTCGAAGACACGGGAAAGGCAGAGCCGAGCAAAGAAAGCAAAGCGATGACACTGAGTAGCTCAGGACATGTGGGAGGAGGGGATGAGATAGACAATTGCTGTCGCGGGATGGCGGGAGATTGAGAATTGGCAGACAGAACGAATGGTATCTTGGGATGAAGTTCCGGATGATGTGTAGTTCAGGGGAAAGTGGTACTCACGGCCTGGGCAGCAACAGCTGCTTGACGTCTGGGCGCCATTTTTGCAGGAAAGAGAGAAGCAGCGAGCTGTCCATAGTAGCTGCGTGCGTTCCAATTTCCCGAAAGGGACGTTGCTTGAGGTCGAGGAAGTAAAGGAAGGAGGGAGTGTCGTCGGTCGTGTGCCCGAGGCGGTTCTTGCCTGTGTATGAAGCTTCCGTCAGTAAGCATACGGGCCAGAGCAAGGACGAAGGAAGGGACAAAGGCTCCTGCACTGGAAAACGCAGGAGAGGCAGATGCCCTGGATGAAATGGCAGGCGGCTGTCCAGTCATCACATGACAGGAGTGGGACCATCCGCTATCTCATAGGACAGGACCAGATACCGGATCACCACTGGACCATGGCCGTCGAGAAAGATAAGGTCCTCACACCTCGAAATTTCTGGTCTTGTGCTCCCAGTACTGTGCATTCCATATGCCATTGCTGGCAATGAAATTCCAGTGACGTGACTGCCTCCACCGTTGGTTCCTGGCTCTGAGAGCTCAGGTACGCCTCATTTTCGTCCCTTCCTGGGGTGATCTGCACTTACCAAGAGCTGGAAGCCAAAAGGCAGGTAGCAAGCAACGTTCTCCGATGCCGTGCTAGAATTGTCTGAGTCGAGTCGTTGGATCTCTTGCCGAATCAATTTCCTCGGTGGTTTGCTTCGCGGAAAGCTTGATATCGTATCAAGGCTGTGCCGTCTTCGGTAGGCAGGATCTGACCAAAAACTCCGGTTGAGAACCTTGCTGCTCTGGGTATTGCGCCGCTGATATATGTCGAAGGTATCAAATGAACCCTGCAAGGGTTAGTAAGTATATGCGAAGATTGTGATGCTGTTTTCTCTGGTGATCAAAACGATTGTGGTGATAGTGGCAAGGAGAAGGAAAAGAAGATTCCCAAGCCAGGTGTAAAGAGGAGAGAAGGAAAAAAAGTAGATCAGGGTTCCTGGCCCTCCTTTTATCTATGGGAAAACTTCAGAAATTGCCCTCGATGCCCTCACGCCCATATTCACCTTCTGAAGCAGCTCTCGCCTTTCTGAATATCAAAAAGAGGCGAGAGCAGGACCGAAGGGTTAATGGCTCCTGCTTTCTCAAGTCTCATGGAACGCGTGAAGGGATCAAGAAGACCCAGACACCATGGCAACACTCTGACTATCTGCTCAATGTTCCGTGAGATCATAAGAAGACAGTGCCCCTGTGAAGTTCAAAGGGTCCAAATGCTCAAAGTCATGGGCAGTGGTTTGTCCATACAAAGCATTGGGGAACCACAGAGCCACCCAGACCAAGTGCATAAGTCTCCAAATCTTGAACTCCATTGTGCCAATTCCCTCTTGATCCTGACGAGTTGGACTGCATACGAAGAACAGACGGTTCCCGGGCAACCAGCACTGAGTACCGGGGTAGAACTTGAACATATGGAAAGGGGGCAGAGACCACGCAGCCAGAACCCATGAGGCTCAGAACATCCAACACCAGACCAGCTGGCCTTGATGACAGCAGATGCAATCTGAAAAACCTTCTCAAGCGAGGCTCTGGCGAGATGCTTGACTCAGGTCGTCCCATCGCCCAGGCATTGAGATGAAGTGCGATGACCCGACCAAAATGCAGGTCCAGACGAAAAAGAACACAAGGAAATGATCAACATCAACCCCCCCAAAATCCAAAAGCCAGCCATAAAGAAAAGGCCACAGAAAGCGCACAGAAGATGCAGACAAAGTAAAATCGAAAACCACACTTCAAAGCCTGTCTTCGCGTACCTCTAGTACCCAGCAGGCTTGATCTCCCGGTCCTTTGGTGCTGTGGGGATGGATGTGATTCCGCTTCTCGCGAGAATTTCGACAGTAGTGGTTTTCGGTTGATTCTGTGAATAACACAGAGGCTTCCTGGACGACCTGAAAGGCCTGGGAGAGTTGTTTTTCTCGGATTGGTGTTGGTGATAAAATATCGACAGGATAGGGGTTGTAACAGGACTTTTGGTCGGGGTGGTGGGAGTTCGATACAGTATCGAAACAAGTCGTAGAAATCAGGGTACGTGACGGTGGTAGAAAGGAGGAAGAGAATTTGAAGGAGAGAAAACTGGATAGAAATCGTCTTGCTGACGACTTCTCCAGATGAAGAGAAGAAGGGAGAAAGGAGTGACGAAGGGTTGGTGGTGGTGAGGTTGTGAAGTGGTGAGGTCGGAGGAGGGGTTGTTTTTTTCCTCTCGGTGATGTTGACAGGAAAAAAAGAGCGCGACGCGCTAGTTGGGTGCGAAGACCAACCTCAAGCAGCTCACCTGAGCCCCAGGCACGTGACTGTTGACGAGCTTGTGTATTGATGCACCTGGTTCCTGAGTATTCACATGCGGTGTCCTGAAGGTTCTCACAAAGGGGGGAAGGGAGCGTGCTTGGCGGGGAGCCGCCTAAGGCAATGGAGGTGCCTTTGGTGTTTTCAACCTCAACCACCACCACTACTCCACTTCCTTTGGAAATGGAAGGAGAGTCAGCGGGCGAACTCTCAGCTGCTGAAAAAAAAAAAAAAAAAGAGGAAGTAATCGGAAGGACTTTGGTGTTTACAACCTTGGCCACTACTACCACCACTACCTACCTCAGTTATCACCCCAGCTCCTCTGATGTTGCAGTCTTCTGAGAGTGCAACCAGACTCGACTAACCGTCTCCTGACCACCCAAACAACAAACACCGAATCAGTAGTATGTAGGGAGATACGTTCCAGACAGAGGCAGCCAGCTGTTGCGACCAAGTGGGTATACTGAGAGTACGGCACTCACGCGTGGATTTTCCACCCCACTTACGAATACCGTCCTTGAAAGTCTTGGTCAACGATAAGTGGTAATAAGATATATTATTGTATTGCGTATCGGGATCGACCCTAATTCAGGCTCCGTCGAGGCCTGTTTAATAAAATGTCTGAAGGCTAGCACAGGGCAGATCGCATGTAGCAAAACGAAAGCCCCTAAAAAGCCAACACTTTTGCTCTTCTCTCGCCATGTATCCTTGCTACCATCGTAGTTGGAAATAGAAGGTTATTAGACGGCAAGAGGTAAGTATTGCGAGCAAATTCCACTCCCGAGCGACTGCTCCTGTCGCATTTCCAGCATCACTGCATCTCCTTTCGCAATGCCTTCTCGGTCACCGCTCTCGGCATGCAATACACAGGGTCGACCTCCACCATGCCCGGATACCCCAGCAAGCTGAGACCCGTAAGGCCGAACAGGGTATGCCACACGTCCACCATGTTCCCTGGCCGATCTGAGATGCCGCCGAGCTCCGTATCCTGGCACTTGAGGATGAAGGTGATCAGCTTCTGCCGGTCGATCCAGTGCGTCCGATCAATGATGCTCAAGCTGCTTAGCACCCACCAACTGTAGCACACGTCCTCATCCTTCTCGGGCCTACCATTGAGGCCGCCAGCCGCAACTTGCCTCTCACTCAACCACCGACCTAGCTTGTCCTTCTCCACAAGATCCAGACGCCCTGCGATGGAGAGCGCCGCGAGACAGGTGAAGATCTGACCCGAGTGGGACTCCGCACCGGGACTCACACCGTAGCCGCCGTCAAAGTTGGTACACGCGGCGATGTGCTTGACAGCCTTGTCGACGTCCACCAGATCAAGCAGACCGAGCAGCGAGAGAGCATTCAGCGCGCCGTAGAGGAAGCGGGTGTCCTCCTCGCCCCATTCGTCACCTGCGAAAGTTCCGCTTTCACGGTTCTGAAGATCTGCAATGACTGTCCCTCAATGTTAGCATCTCATGCGCAATCAACAGCGAGAAGCGGCAAGCACTCACACTTGCCCACTTGCGCCTTCCCCTTGCCGCGCACCTCCAGCTCATCCAAGGCGTCAATCATGACGAGGATCTGTACAGCACTAACTGTATAGAGCATGTGAGCATCGTGGCCTGGCGCGGCCCCGAAGCCTCCGCTCTCGTGTTGGCACGAGAGAACGAAGTCTATGGTTTCGGCGCGGGGAAGCGCGTCAGGGTGGCCCAGAAGGTGCAGCGCAGTGAGGCCCCAATAGAGACCGTTCAGGCGTAGGTGCTCCGTCAGCCAGTAGTCGTACTCGTCTTTGCGAGTATCCAAGCTCTGGATGTACTTCACGTGAGCCGCTGTGGCCAGCTTGAGCTCGTCTGGAAGATTCTCGAACTGGGCCGCCATGGTGAATCCTCGTACTATCTGGGGGTGACTCAGACTTTTGAGGTTCTGGGACGGACAGATGATCGAGGGTTTCGTTGGGGCTTGAGCGTAAATAAAATTTGACGATGCTCCACGCAAGGTAGAAGGAAAGAGATGAAGTTGTGTCGCTTAGGTAAGGCAGTTCGGTTGGGTCCCCAGACGGCAGGTTCCGCCGTCTGACGAGCCAGGATGTTGCATCCCCGTCAGGAAGGGACACTGAACCGACCAGGACGGCGCTGGACCCACGTTTTCCGGGTGCTGTGATGGGATACCGTACCTACAACCTCTGAAATTCTCCGAGAAGCGAGCATTCGTCTTTCATCAAATCATATTGTGTCGTCTGGCGAGGCGCAAATTACTGTTTCTGCTGGAAAGGTCACTCGGGCCCGATGTATGCTGACTGGAGGCCTCGTGTGTTCTCAAAAATAACCACGGCACTCGCTGGTGAGCTATCCGCCTGCCTTGCCGCTATCAAGCCGATGTTGCTGACTGACTCTGGCAGCTTGGGTGACACTTCTCGTTTCCAAGACCATTGGTCACGATTATCGCTCGCTCGGACTTCGACTAGCCACCAATCGTTGACAGAACCGATCTAGAGGCTGGCCGGTTGTGCACCAGGTGACTGATTGACCAGACCAGGCTGCTTGGCTATGCGACTACGGGAAACTGCGTTGCGCGCCTTTCCCAAATCAACGGGGCCTGCATGAGAGATGGGCGAATCTACCTTGGCCCAACTCCGAACAAAGGTATCGGATTGGATAATGCATTGCGATACCATCTTTTCCAGACCGGTGTAGATGCCTTTATCCGGCTGGTCCCTGAGTCTCCGGCCTTGTTTCTTGCATCGCCGGCTG